GCACCGGCATGTCGACAACAACCTCATTTCGCAACTAACAACCACCCGTGTGGGGTGGCGGTGGGTGGATAGTCGCGGATTGGAGTTGCCTAGCCAAATTTTTCAAACAAATTTCATCAAAACAAATTTTTCAAACGAATTTCATCAAAATGAAAACAAATGTTTTGTTGCCTTCGGAGTAGTGGGCGAGCGGCGAGTCGGAGCGGAGCGTGTAAAGTTTAACCTCGGTGTGCACGGTTGTTTTTAGAAACTCAATCCAATATCGGGGACGTTGAAAGTGATGCTCCTATGAGTTGCAAACCCACGAGATTTAAAGAACCTTTTCAAAACAATTTCAAACCAAAACGATTTAAAATCAAAAAATTTCATCAAAATGAAAAACAAATGTTTCGTTGCCTTCGAAGTAGTGGGCGAGCGGCGAGTCGGAGCGGAGCGTGTAAAGTTTAACCTCGGTGTGCACGGTTGTTTTTAGAAACTCAATCCAATACCGGGGACGTTGAAAGTGATGCTCCTATGAGTTGCGAACCCACGAGATTTTAAAAACTTTTTGAAAAATTTCTTCCAAATGACACATTTTGATCCATGGCAAGTTCTCAATCCGTAGCTATCCAATCACCGCCACACCACACGGGGCGGGAGTGGGGAATGTTGTGCTTCCCGGGGTTGGCATAGACAATCTTTTGCGTGCGTTGCGTGCGAGGGAATGTCTATGCCAACCCCGGGAAGCACACCATTCACCCACTAGTGTGGGCGACGATGGGTTGGCTTTCGAGTTTACTTTAGCTTGGGGTTGTCCTCGGTTATGCTTTTGTGTTGGGAGTACGGCCACCAAACCTTCTCAATGCACGGGTACGTCGGGGATGGCTTTCGGCGGGGTTGATGAAGAAGCTAGTCAATTGTTGGCCACACGAACACACGTGGTGACGATGGGTGGGCTTTGGGTGAACTTCAGCTTGGGGTTGTCTTCGGTTATGCTTTTGTGTTGGGAGTACGGCCACCAAACCTTCTCAATGCACGAGTACGTCGAGGATGGCTTTCGGCGGAGTTCATGAAGAAGCTAGCGAATCGTGGGCCACTCGAACACGTTGGTGGGCGGTTGAGCTATGATTAGGATTGTCTAGGCATTGCTTGTGTGTGCACGGTGCGAGCCCAATGCACAAGCAAGTCGAGGATGACAATCTCAAGAGTAGCAATGATGCCGCAAAATATCGGTTGCCTTCGGAGTAGTGGGCGAGCGGCGAGTCGGAGCAGAGCGTGTAAAGTTTAACCTCGGTGTGCACGGTTGTTTTTAGAAACTCAATCCAATACCGGGGACGTTGAAAGTGATGCTCTTACGAGTTGCAAACCCACAAAACATATCGGTTGCCTAGTTGCCTAGATTTTGTGTTATTCTTGTCATGCCTAGCGGGCGGGCTTGGCTCCACTCGGTGCAGCCGCATTCTTGGCTAGCCACTGTGCTTGTTGAGATGTGCGGTTCGTTTGGTGGTGCTGGGCTTTGCCAAAGCAACGGCGTGTGAGTGGTGAATGGGTTGTATGCACCGGCAGGCTCTGTGCTCTGGCATCGAACTGTCGTCTCATACCCCTCGTCATTGATGCTTCAAGATTGGCTTGTGCGGGTTAATGGGTTCCTGTTTTGGCTACCTATTGTGGTAAGGAATGGTGCCTCGTTGTCCCTTTCCTCTTGCCCCTTCGCGGGCAGCAGGAGGACGTCGTAGCAGGTGTTGTGTGCCCGATCAACCCACGACTCGTCGTGAGAGTGTGAAGGTCCACAAGTTTCTGCTTGTGATCTCGGATGCGGAGCATTGAGCGGGCGTGGGGTCTTCGGGCCTCCGATCGTCCAATTCGAAGCGTTTTCGCTCGACACGTACGACTGTCGTGCCCCGCGGCGAGCACTCGACCCGCAGGGCGTTTGTCTGATGATATATGTGTTGGTGCAAGGATGATATTGTTGTGTGTGTGTTTTTGTTTTTCGTTGGGACGGGAGGTGTTGATTGTGCAAACTACTTCAGTATATTATGATTTGTGATCGATTATTATGTTTTAAAATAATTGTTAGGAAGTTTATCATAGTTTGACTAGTAAAGGGCCAATGAATGCCATCAATTCATTGTCTGCTGCTGTTATGATATTATTATACTATCAATGTATTTTCATTATGTTGTAACTGAAGGTCTACCATCCTATACCTTGTATATAAATAGGTTGTAATATCTCTTTTGAAATACATAGAAAAACTGAGCTTGTGCTTCAAACGAGGTTCCCACTATCCCCATTCCCAATATCTCTCACCTTGTCTCTGTCAAACTTTCTGATACCAACTATCTCCTATGGGAAAGCCAGGTGAAACCTTTCTTACTAGGCCAGAATCTTTGGAGTTTTGTTGATGGATCTCATCCTTGCCCCTCACCTACTCTGCCTCCTTCTGATAAGTCTAATTCTTCTACTCTACCCCAGCCCAATCCTGCCTATGCCTCTTGGTTTCAAACTGATCAAAACCTCATTAGTATTCTTCAAGCTATGATATCTGAGAGTGTTCCTCAACAAGTCATTGGGTTTTCCACCTCGCATGCCATTTGGGATTGTCTCCAACAAAATTTCTCGCAGCAACCTCTTGCCAATTCTACTCAGCTGAAATTTCAAATCTTCTCTCTCACCAAAGGTTCCAAATCCATCTCTGAATACCTTTCTCAAGCCAAAAGTTTGGCTGATGAACTTGTTACGATCTGGGACTGTCTCCAACTTCGACTTGGTTACGTATGTGCTCTGTGGTCTGCGTATTGACTACCAAATATTACTGACAGCTATTCTGAACTTCCACCACCTCCCTCCTTCTTGAACCTATGAACTCGCCTCCTTGCTTTTCAAGGGCAATAGGCCTTAGCCGCTCAGATGGCTCCTATGGCTTCTCCTGCCGCCTTTGTTGCTACTCGCTCCCAAGTGGCCTTCGCCACCTGTGCCCGAGTGACCAATCCATTCGTTCCTTCGGTCAGCCTCAAGTTCGTCATTTCTCTGGCTCTAGCCAACCTTTTCACCGTGCTCCGCGTCCCTCATCCTCCTCTCAAGGTCTTTTCGGTCCTCCACCCTGTCGCTAGTCACTTCAATGCTGGAACTGCTAACAATTTGGTCATGTTCAAGCCAAGTGTTGTCATCCTCGTCCTTTTGCCGGCATGCATGTTACGTCCTCTTCCGACCCTAACTGGTATTTGGACTCCGGTGCCACCAATCACATGACTCATGATGCGTAACCATTCCATTCTGGCGCCAACAATTCAGATCAGGTTGTTGTTGGTAATGATCCCCATCACCCATTTTGGTAATCTTTCATCTTCTTCGGGTACTTTTGTCTTTCGTCTCTCTGATGTTCTCCATGTTCCTTCCCTTCGTAAAAGTATTTTATCTGTTGCTCAATCTCTTAACAGAACTTCGTTATCTGCTTACCTATCTGGTTTTACTCAACTGTGACAACTTGTTTGCCACATGCTCGTACAAAACACATTGCCATTGATTATCACTTTGTTCATGAACAGGTCGCTTCTGGCAATCACAAAGTTCAGTTCATTCCATCCTAACTTTAGCTTCCAGATGTCTTCACAAAAGGGTTACCAGCTAATCGTTTTGAACGTCTTCTTTCCAAACTTGTCACCTCCCCAGTGTCCTGCTTGTGGTGAAATGTTAGGCAGTTATCATTGTTGTGACTAGTGAAGGGCCATTGATTCATTGTCTATTCATTGTCTCCTGCTGTTATGATATTATTAGCTATATCAATGTATTTCCGTCATGTTGTAACTGATAGGTCTACCATCCTATACCTTGTATATAAATAGGTTGTACTATCTCTTTTGAAATACAAAGAAAACTCAGTTTCTACAATAATCATTATCTTCTTAAACTATTTTTGAATTATTTTAATTACAATAGTTTACAAACCGAAAGCTTCAACTCGCTTTACACCTTTCACTTTGAATGAATACTGGCTCATCTCATTCTTCATGATTCTTGGCACTATGGCCTTCACAACCACCATTTTTGTGGTTCTTGTTCTTGATTATTTCTATATGGGTTTGAAGCCTTTCAAAGTGAGGTTGAGTTTTAATGGTTAATCTTTTGGTAACTATTTTTTTCGGCCTTCTGTCAGTTATAGGCAGGTTCTCACTTTTTAAAATGCATTTTTTCCATTATGTTGAGATGGGGAGAAAGGTAAAAGTAGTTTGGGTGCTGTTATGTTTACATTTTGGGTTTCATTAATGAATCCTCCCACAGAAGTTCATCAGAGGTTCATCAGAGGGTAAAAGTAGTCTGGTTCATTCTCTCTCTTCTCAACCCTAGAAGTTCATCAGAGGGCTAAATACAATTGTTCTCATTGCTTATTGGAATTTGTTTGTAGGCACATCCTTTTGACGAATTTGTGCAATTTCTAAACATTGAATTTTTCAATTATGCACTCTACTCTATATCTTCTAATAATGGAGATCACTACAAAGTTTGGTTGCAGATAATGTTCTTCCCTATTGTGTTCAGCTGAGTTTTTCCAACTTCTGTCGCCTTAAGCATTTAGTGAGAGACCACAAGAGAGAAGCACTAGTGCAAAAATTGAGAAAGGAAAGTGTGTTTATTGCTTGTTTTAATCCCAGTCAAAAATTGATGCGTGGACAAATTTCCAGCATTATTTGCAATTACTTTGACTGATGAATACAAGTTCTTTCTCCCATCTTGAGTGGACAAAATTCTCTAGTTAGCTTGATGCATGTATGGATGGATTTTGGTGCCATACTGTCCCTGCACAATAAAAAGTTGGTAGATGAATAAAGTGAAAAAGCGAGGTTCAATTCTTACATGTAAATTGTTTACCAAGAGCAGTGTTGACTGTTATACTCCTACTTAGATCGGTCCACTAGATACTAAGTTATATCAGTTTTTGATAAAAGTTTAAATTAGGTGATACCTTAATGCCCAAAACCTTGTGAAATATGGAAAGTTTTGAAGCCAATTAAAGGGGTCTTATTTATTTTCCTTTGCGTGAACCGTTGCTTGATGGGCTTAGAGTGTTAGTCAAGTCGGTCCTCGGTGATGAGTAGAGACGATTTGACCTAGCCCTATATAAGCTTAAGACCCTGCTCTCGTCAGACATGTTCTCAAAGCCTAATCTCATCATAAAGAGAGAACTGAAACACTCCCCAGGCTTAATAACTCGAGTTGAAAAGGCTTCATAATTAAACTTTTTATGAGTTTTTTTTTCCAATAGTATCCTTTTGTTTCCAAATGATTGAACAATTTGTGCAATTGTCCTTAAACCATGAAAGTACTCTACAATACTCCTTAGAGAGTAGGAAACTTTCATAAAAGGCTATGGTGAGGAGAATTGAGCTAAGAATGAAAAGAAAGGCATAGAAAGGCTAACTAGGGAGGCTCAAACGAAATAAACAACGCCTATATCACTTCCTAGAATCCATGTGGTTTACGAAGTATGCTTCAAACAGATAATGAAAGTAGTTCTAGCAAACAATTTAAAAATCCTCAAGTATTTGACCAAAAGAAAGAATAATGAGATCACAACGACTTGTAGACAAGAAAATTAAAGAATAGCATAACAGTCAAGAAAGGAAGGCAAAGGCTCAAAAGCTCACATAATGAGGGTTATATAAGTTTTCACTTGCTCTTATTTCACAATTTAAATCATATGAAATTCGCAAATGAAAATCATATTACGTGGCTATGTGCGTATAGTTTTACCAAGATCCACTACTACAAAAATCGAAATAGAGGACAGGAAACCACCATCGTCTAGAAGGTTTTCCAACCGTCGTGAAATCGACCGCCATCTTTTGTACAACCAACAACGACGGTTGATAACCAACGTAGTTAAATAATTTAACGTCTAAATTTATTACGAACTGATGTGTAATTACTATATAATTAGTGTAAAATGAAATCTTCAACAACATTAGACGACGGTTTTATGAAAACTGAGACGTCTAAAGAGTTTTACATGTCAAGATCAAAAGAAGAACCGATGTACAGATAATTATCCACGTCCCTAAAAGAAGGAAAAAAGACTTGGATAAGCTAGAAACCGTCATGGTTAATTTGTACTACATTAAACAAACAAAAAAACCGACGTCTAAAACATAAACTACAACTTTTACACAAACCAACAGACGTTTAAAGAGTATTGCATGTCATTTGTCTCCCAATAACCGCCGTAACAAGATATAACCACGTCCTGCACCTAGCATCACCGACGCTTATGTAATTATCCACGTCGAGAACTTTAATAAAACCCGACGTGGTAAGTATATTCCACGTCTGTTACTTGCGAGACTCGTCGTTTAAATTTAACAAAGAAGGCCCTTTGACACAATTAGACGTCACTTTTTCTAAATAACCGATGTCTAAAATATTTAAAATGACATAGTATTACTCAATGTTGACGTACAAAACTATACCCCACATCGATTTTGTCAAAGGATGACGTTATAAATAGTATTGAAGGTGGGGATAGGAAAAAAACCGACGTGGATTATGTATTCAACGTCTGTGGCGTTAAAATAATGGACATGGTTAATTATATCACTACGTGTAGAGATCCATCTGCTTGACGTTGTAATTTCTTACCACGTCAGTTTTGATTACATAATGACGTGGTTGTCCTTTTAAAAGTAGCTTGTTTAACCTGCCTTGATGTATGTATGCTCAGAGACGTCAATTATTTTAGACTATCCGACATGCAGAACATCTGTCATGATAGTTAATGGAACTAAACGGCCTTTATTTCGACCTTTAGATGAAGATTTATTTTAACCAAACCGACTTGATTTCTTTTTCAGATCTCTGTTTTTTTGCTTTATGGTCTTTTGCCTTTTTAAAACCCGACGTTGTTTTTATTTTAGACGTCTGTGTTTCCATTTTTTTTACCGGACCGTCGTACTTTACAGCTTTAACCCAGCTTTTTTAATTTTTGATTTGTCGTGCCCAAAGCCTGCATTTAATGAATATGTGATCAGAATTAAAATGATGTACATAATTATTAATAAGTGTCATACAAATAACTGAATAAGTAATGTCATACATTACAACAATCAATCAATCCATATATCTTCACACCCATCTCTAATTTTTTCATTCCCTAACTCACCCACTAGGTCATCAAGTGTATCAACATTTGGTATCCCTCTAGTAAATGGCTCACACTCAATTCTAGTATCACCTAGCACATCATCACCAATAACATCATTATATTCTCTATTAGGCATTGATAACATTACTGACCAACCACGATGCATTAGGTTGTCAACATAAAATACTTGTTTAACTTGAGAAGCCATAACAAATTGGTCATTCCTATGTCCAATTTTACTCAGATCTACAAGGGTAAATCCAAGTTCGTCGACTACAAGGCCCGAAGTGTTATCTATCCAATCACACCTCAAGATTGGGATTCTAAACTTTTGGTAGTCAAGGTCCCAAATTTCTTGAATAACACCATAAAAAACCCATATTGGAGACAATAGGGTTTTTATCCTTGGCACTAGCAACTTGCATATTATGTGCAAGTAAATAAACTCCACTATTTTGGACAGTTCGCACATCATCTTGTGCCTTGGTGTTAAATTTCACACCATTAATAAGATAGCTCCTATATGATGGCACTGCCATGCTTGGACCAGCTGCTAGCCACCTTAAATTTTCTGATACGCCATTATGCTCTTCCCCACTAAGTTCACTTTGAACCTGCAAATTAATCATATATATCTTAATTCAATCTAACATATAGAATGGAAGAAAATTAAAAGTTGAATATGCATGTCATTCAATAACATATATATACCTTAAAGTGGAGCCATTGAATGAAAGTGCTATTGTGCTTATCTTGCAGCCACTTTGTTCTCTTTCTAAATTTTGGATAAGTGGTCTTGATGTGGATCATATGTTCCCTACATTGACATGAAAAAATCAAGCATTACGGTCCCTTGTATATAAGATAAACATAAGGAATAATAATATTTAAAATGGAGCTCCATATGAAAAATAAAAGTCATACGTACTTGATATAAGGTAGGACTTCCTCCATATTCTCCAAGACATATAGATGTGCCTGGTTCAACAAGTCCCGATCAACTAAGATTACTGTGCAACTTGATAATGGCTTCAAAACTCCCATCTTCTGGCTTGAAGGCACTCCAACTGTACTAACATCAGATAAATGCTTGGTGCAAAACTCTACAGCTTCTTCAGCTATATACCTCTCAACAATGCAACCTTCCGGACGATTACGGTTCTGAACATACCCTTTTAGCACTTTCATATACCTTTCAAACGGATACATCCATCTAAAATATACTGGGCCACATAGACGAACTTCTCTGACAAGATGTACTACTAGATGAACCTTGATATCAAAGAATGAAGGGGGAAAGTACTTCTCAAGCAAACACAAAGTAACTACTACATCTTCTTCCAACTTATCTAGCTTGGAAACATCTACCGTCTTTGCACATATAGAATTGAAGAAGAAGCACAATCGAGTTATTGCATACTTTGCAGGCTTCTCCAAAACAGAACAAATTGCCACAGGGAGCAATTGTTGCATCAAGGTATGACAATCATGAGATTTAAGTCCAAGAAGTCTTGAATCTTTTAAAGATACAAGATTTTTTATATTTGAACAATAACCTTCAGGGACCTTAATACCATAGAAAGAATTGCAAACCGCTCTCTTCTTTGCTCTTGACAAATTCCAAGGCCCTGGAGGCAAGCGAGTACGTCTTTGTCCATACTCGGGTTGCAAATCAGTTTTGACCCCCATGTTCAATAAATCTAACCGACCAGCAATCTCATCTTTATTTTTTCCAGGGATCTCCAGCAATGTACCAATGATACTATCGCAAACATTCTTCTCAATATGCATAACATCTAGGACATGCCTCACATGATGGTATTTCCAATACTCGAGATCAAAGAATTTTGATTTCTTCTTCCAACAAACTCTGTCACCATCATTCTCACCAACACTTCCCCCATTTTTTGAGCCCCATATGTAATTAATATCTTCAACCATGTGCAACACTTCTTCTCCGGTTAATGGCTCGGGAGATGTGCCATATTCAGGTTTCCCATTAAAAGCTCCATGCTGCCTCCAATATGGATGATTGATTGGTAACCATTTTCTATGCCCAATGTAACAAATTTTGTGGCCATTTTTCAATCTATGACTAGGTGTATCATCACCGCATATTGGACAAGCTTTATATCCTTTAACGATACAACCAGATAAGTTGCCATATGCAAGAAAATCATTAATTGTCCACAGTAATACACCTCTAAGTGTAAAGTATTCTCCTATATGTGCATCATACACTCCTCTAATCCCATCCCACATAGATTTTAAATCATCAATCAAAGGCTCTAAGTAGACGTCTATATCATTTCCAGGCTGTTTAGGACCGGAAATCAATAAGGTCAACATCATGAACTTCCGTTTCATGCATAGCCATGGTGGGAGACTATATGTAACTAAGATAACTGGCCAACAACTGCATCTGCTACTTAAAGAATTGTGGGAATTGAATCCATCAAATGAGAGAGCCAATCTCAAGTTTCTCAGCTCTTTATCAAACTTAGGCCATTTATCATCAATAAGTTTCCAAGACGGGAAATCTGTCGGATGAGACATCTGACCGTCAATTTTCTAGCAGCATGCCAAGTGAAACTCTTAGCTGTCTTATGTGGTTGGAACATCCTTTTAAACCTTGCAATTGGAGGAAAATACCACACCACCTTTGCTGGCACACCCTCTTTTAAGATTGAATCTTTGCCTTCCTTTCACCTTGAGACACCACAAGTAGGACAATTAGTTGAATCTTCATAATCCTTCCTATACAAGATGTAGTCATTGGGACATGTGTGGATTTTCTCATAACTTATCCCTAAAGCAGACAGTCTGTTTTGCCTCGTACATAGAGGAAGGTAGTGTATTTCCTTTTGGAAGCAAATCTCCTTGAAGTATCAATAATTCTGTAAAACAAACATCACTCATCCCATGTTTTGCTTTCAAATTATATAACTTCACCAAAGCCGACAACATCATGCACTTACTGCTACCATGGTACAAGGGTTGATCTCCATCCCCAATCACATTGGCAAACTCATAAGGATCAAATCCAATATCGCCTAAATCATTATCATCCATCCCTACTTCTTCAGAAACAAAACTGAACCTACTTTGCTCATCTTCTTCCACATTTCTACTAGCATTAGTAGTCCATTCACAAGGTTCTCTGTGCCATGTCCAAATCTTATAGCTTTGGTCAATTCTATTAAAGTATAAGTGGTCCCTTATAATTCCAACTCCAAACAATTGAATATTCCCACATTTAACCCATGGACAACGAATATGAGTTGTATTTCCAAGATTTTCTACAGCAAAATTCAAAAATCCTTCCACACCTAACTCATATGCCTTCGATCTTCTATCCGCATGCATCCATGACTTACCCATCTCACACACTCCAAAATCATACATATGATAAAGTGAAAAGACCAGCAATGAAACAATACTATATTGACAGAGAAGAGAACAAAGTGGAAAAAAAGAAAAAAAAATTCCACAAGAATCTGACGACGGTTTTTGCAAAATAATAGTCGCGTAACATAGATTAAGACGACGACATGTCTATTTACCGTCGTCTCTAAGCAACTAACATGATATTTCTTAGGGTTAGGGTCGACGGTGGTAGTAAATAAAAAGACGACATATAATAAAAATTTAGACGACGGTTGGTCCCACCAATCGTCGTCGTGGTTTACAAAAAACCAAAGCCTAATTCTTCCATCCCCATTCCTTTTCAAAGAACCCTTAACAGAATGCGAACATCAAAACATAAAAGAACCCATTTATAGCTCCCATCAAGAACCCATAGCTCCCAAAACATAAAAGAACCAGTATTAAGAAACCAAAGCTGAGAGAATATACAAACTAAGAGAATATTTAGAGAGATCTGAGAGAATATACAAACTAATAGAATATTGAGAGAAAGCTGAAAGAATATATACAAACTAATAAGAGAATATTGAGAGAGAGCAGAGAGAATATACGTACATGGATATTGAGAGAGCTAAGAGAAAATATCAAATGCTTGAGAGAGCTCAGAGAATATACCCAATGCTTTGAGAGAGAGCGAAAACTTTAAGACAAATTTACGTTGAAGAGAGAGAAGGAAATACTTTAGGGTTAAAGGAAAATTCTGAAAATTTTAGATCCCGGTCAAAAATTTCAAACGACCGCGTTTATTGAAGACGATGGTAAATACAACCCAGTTGTCGTTGTATTTCAGAATTACAATGGTGGTTATGTTACACCGACGCCTTTGTAAAGCATTTTGACGTCGCCCATACAAAAAACCGACGTCTAAAGTATTAAATAATTAGATTTGCTTTGCGTTTCGTGGGATTTCAACTCGCGTAATTGACCAAAAAGAGGTAGAGAAACCAGCGTCGTTTCAATAAACCCTAAACCCTAAATTTTACAATAATTAAAAAAAAACACAAGTATGAGAAAAATGAACCGAAAATTTCTACGAACTCCTTACAACAATGCCTTCTATATTAGTAGGCTAATATCCATATTAAATAATTTTGAACTTTATGACCACCAATGGATCACATAAACCTTAGGGTTATGTTATGGAAAGTATATGACTATTGTGCTTTGCCTCTAAATCCTTTTTACTTTTGTTATCACTTCTAATTTTGAAATCTAAAATTAAAATTTTAGGCATGTAGGGGGGATTGCCTCAATGAGTGCATAGAATTTGTTGGTTTATTTATTGGATTTTTTTTAATATATTATGAATATCAGTAAATAAATACAAATAAAAATATTTTAAATATTAAAATTTTTAAACATTTAGGGAGATAAAATCTTTCAATGAGTGCATGGTAGTTGTCAATTTATTCTATGAAATTTGTTTTGAAATGATTATGAATATTAGGAATAAAATATAAAATTCATACAAAAATTAAATGACAAATGTGCATAACCGATGTTGCATCCGTTTACAATGACGGTACATAACACATAACGCCGTCCTAGAACACATTAGACGTCGTAATGTACTCCCCGACGTGGTTAGTATGTTACTACGTCAACCTTTTTTTAATAACCGATGTAAGTATAATTTACACCGTCGATTATTATGTTAATGACGACGTTGTTTAGATATACAACGTCACATTTTACCTTGTAACCGACATTGTACTCTTTTAACACGTCCTCTCTGTTGTATTAACGGACGTTGTATGTCTATATTAACTGTTGTGTATATCAACCTTACATGACATTTTTGAGAAATGCAGTCGATGTTTTATTTCTCACTACTTCAAGACGGCGGTTGTTCATAGATATGAGACGTGTAAATAAGAATGAGACATTGGTTTTTGGGATTTAATTTAAATTTTTATGATATATTTTCATTTTATTTCATTTAACGACATTAATATCTTATCCAAAAAAAAACTAGAAACAAAAATATATTTCATTTGATTTTTTTGATGAATGTTCAATTAATTACCAAAAATATGTTTATATACATTATCAAAAATTAAAATAAACCTAAACATTTTTAAAATAAATTATATCACTTATTGTTCTGTAATAGCTTGTTCACGAATTCTGCCCATTCCAGCCTGACTTTGTCAATAAGTTCTTGAGTATACACAACTGGTTCCTTTTTCTTGTTAAACTACAAATAAAGAACAAAAACCGACCTGTTATAAATATTAAAATGATGGTTTTGAAAGAAAACGTCGTGGTATTAAAACAAAGAAATTATATCTTAAATTTTACCTTCTTCTCAAATGCTAGGCCTAGTTCATGAATTATATCTCTCATGAAACGCATCACGTAATAGCCACACTCTACATTTGTTGGTTGTCTAGGAGTTCCTTGTAGATTTTTCCATATGGGTGATTTACGTGATGATTGTTTGCCTGTGAGAGTTATACATTTTGATTGAAATGTTTCAAGAAAACAAAAAGTGTTAATGACAAAACTAAAAATCAGCATTAAAAAATATTAACCGTCGTGGTAAATAAGTGAAGACGACGGTTTGTTAAAACAAATGACGTCGTATTTTAGTTCAAACGTCAGAAAATAAGAACCGTTGTTGTGTATCATTCTAACTTCAGTGACGAAGAAAAACGACGTATAACAAAGTTGTTTTGAAATTTTAAAGTTGAATAGAAAAAATTAAAACTTCCTAAAATGAAAAACACAAACGACGTGGTATTTCAATGAAGACGACGGTTTCAAGAAAATACTGACGTTGTAAATGATTTCAAACGTCGGTTATAACATACCATCGTTGTGTTTTCACTACAACGTTGGTATTTGAAAAATCCATTGTATCATTCAAATGCATAAATAAAAAATCTTACTTTTTCATTAATATACTTACGTATTCACTACATTTCTCATGTCCTCATCAACAGAGCGGTTTGGCAATGAATCCATGTAATAAAAAGTCTCCTTAGCTGGTCTCACAATTATTAACACCCAATGACCCCTAAACCCTAAACCAAGTAAAACTGATCCCCATCTGCATTTTTCAGGCGTTCTGAGAGATGTTTTGAACGGTGAGATAACGTTCCAGATTGAGAGCTGACTTGTCTAGGGTCCACAAGGCCAACAAGGTTTACCATATTTGCCATTTTTAAATAGTCCAATAAGTACCTAATTAAATATATGAAATTCAATTAAATGAGATTGTAATTTAAAAGAAAGGAAATGTAAAAAAAACAAAATTGGATTTCTAGAATTACCTCATGTATACTGCAATCACTGTGGATCCAATCTCAACCATGGAAGCAAACTATAAAATGTCTTCACTCAAGAGCCAGGTATCATGATCAGTGCCAAACACTTCCTCTGGCATGTGAATTCTAATGGTCTCGTTAGTAGGCTTCAACTTGGTGTCGACATATTGGCATAGGGCTAACAGAGGAGCTGGTATGTCAAGCTTTGACAGATCCTGTAACAAGAAATAAATAAAGTTTGTACATGAAGTAAAATAAACGACTCCAACAAATCAAAAAACTGACGTGGTATATAATATCAACAACGATTTCTAAAACATACTGACGGGGTAAAGGCTATAGATGACGGTAAATACATAACAGTCATTGTGTAAATGTTATAACATCGCTACTCAATAGGAAGGTCGTCTAGGTTAAAATAGAAGACAGGTTGTAAAATAAAAACCGAAGTCTATTTAAAATTTAAAACCAGAAAAAATCAAATGTCAGAGATTGTACCGTTTCATCTTGACGGTTTTCAAGAGCATCAGCATCATTCATGGGATTGTCTTCATCCAATTCAAAGGCTCTCACATTAGAGCAGCTTGCTTTGTCAGACATTGGATTTGTTGGGCTTTCCTCTTGAGGAATTTGAGGAATTGGAGTAATTGGTGTAGTTGGAGTTTTACTGAGCAAGTTGGGATCAAAGTTGGGAATTAGTTGACTGAATTGTTTCAACAAAATTTCCCTCTCTGCCCTGACTGCCTCCATAACACTTTCCTTTGCCTTGGCCTCCATCTTTTTGGTTTCCTCTCTCACTGCTTCCATAACACTTTCCTTCAATTTGTCAGCAAATTTTACTCTCTGCTGTCTCGGCAAATTGAAGAATTGAGTTGGGGAAACTCAGCTCCAACACCTCTGACTCTTCCACCATGCTCAGGGGTTCCCAAAGCCAAGGTCAAAACATCGTTGCTGCCAGAGACAGTCAGAGTGCCCTCGGAGACTTGTTTTTTCAAATCATCCTAAGAGTAAGAGGGAGAATGTTAGTGACTAAACAAATAGTAAAACTGATTAAATTAATAAATTAATAAAAATATTAACCGACGTGGTAAAGTGATTAAGACGACGGTTTATTTAAAAAACAGCCGTAGAAAAGAATTTAATACGTTGGCCCAAAACTACCGTCGTGTTGTATACGTTAACACGTCGGTCCATGAAAGAAACCGTCATTTATTTGACATCATAGATTAAAAAAAACTTAACCAAAATATTCATTGATCCAAATATAGTGTACAAACCAATTGCAGAGAAGTAGAGAGGGAGAGAAAGTGTGTGTGCGTGTGAATATGAAGAAAGTTCAAAATTTAATTTAAAAAACCAAATACATAAACACAAAACTGTCGTTGTAATTCTATATAGACGTCGGTTTTATAAAAATATTGACGTTATATATTTTTTAAAAGGCGGTAAATAAAAACCGTCGTGGGGTTTCGTGTCTAACGACGGTTACTAAAAAGATTGATGTCTGAATGAAAAATAAAACCTCTGTTTTACAAGTTTAGAACAGAGTCAGTGAGACTTACGATTAATTTTGCCTTCTCTGCAACCTTTGGATCAGGGATGTTTCCCTCTTTATCTTCTCTTACCTTCTTCCATAGCAGAGATCGATCGATTTCTTCACCGGGCTGGTTTCTTCCAATTCATCCTCCAAACCAATGTACCATTCACCGGGCACAGTTGTACTCGCATTTCTCTGTTCTCTGTGACTGCTCAGAATGCACAGCCTCAAAATCTGGGGATAACCTTAAAGCTACAAAGGCATCCCATTGCAATTTCTCTATGAAGTTATAAAGCTGAGGGGGCTCTTCTAACTTCTCCTTCTCATTTGCGAATGGAAGGATAAACTGCCTAGTTAAGGTAGACTTAAAATCCTTCCATTTTTTGGCGGCAGACGACAACATCATCTTCTTGCCCCCTTCCCAAACAACATAAGCCATTTGAACAGCTTCCCAAATCTGCTCCTTCAGGTCCTTGGGCAATTGAGTCCATTTCTTGTCCACAAGAGGGACTCTGGTGCGTGCCAAAACACCAATGTAACTCTGCATCTCAATAGCAACTTTGCCATGTGGTCTGCCACTTTTATTGTACTCAACCACAGGCTTAATCTTCTGGATTTTCCTCTTCACAACACGGCTCATTGTGTTGATACCGCGAGTCAATTTTGTCACTTCATCAAATGTCGCAGAGCTTGGGTCTTTCTCAGAGGATGAAGTAAATCTCATCTTCTTTGTGGGATTGCTTGGAACAAATTTGGATTCAGCCATTTGTGCCTTTGAAACTACAATGTCCTTGCCTTGACCTTTTGTAGCTTGAGCCTCCTTACTTTGAGATTTCGAAACCATGTTTAGAGAGGTATAAACTGCAAGAAAAACAACGACAGTTAGGTAAAATACATACGTAAAATGAAAGTTCAGAAGACGGTCGTCGTGCTAATCTATAGAAACGTGGATGTGCTAATACGACGTGTTCATTAACTTAAAACGACGGTAATTAAATACAACCGTCGTCGTATTATAAGTTCATAAATAAAAAAACCGCCCAGTTTTCTCTCTCCCACGTTAGTTTCAAATCAGACGACAGTTTTCTCTTTCAAACGTCGTATTTATTAACACACCACGTCAGTTATTATGAACAGTCGTGCTATTGAAATAGCATGAATTTAATTACCGTCGTGGTGTATCAACAAAAACGTCAAATTCGATAAAAATCAGTCGTCCTCACATGACCTGTGAGTGGGAACAGTGAAAGATTTGATGCTTGACGGGATAATTAACATTGGATTGTAGAGCTAGTGCCTTTTACAGGCTCATTTCAATTCTTAGCGTGACAGATTGCATATTTTTTTGGCATGGCATGTGGTAGTGGCTCGTGCAAGCGTGCATGACGAATTTCGCGTGCTTCGAACCGGGTCTTTTCTTAATGAGGTGTAGCACTGGGCCGGAAATTTATTTGGACCCAACCCTGGATTTTTCGGGCCTCAACATTAGCCTCCTTAATTATTAGGGTCATGGATAAGTGCTAGAATGGCCTGAATAATTAAACCCGACCTAAAAATCAAATTCATAAGCTCTAGCAATTATTTGTGGTTTCCAATATACCAACTTCCTAATTCTTTTTCATTTAGTATTTCTTCCTTCTTCTCCTTCCTCTTTACTCGTACCAGAGTAAACCTCTCCCCATCACCTTCATCTTCTTTTTCCTTTTCTTCCATCAACGAACTCAAAGCGAGAGAGAGAGAGAGAGAGAGAGAGAGAGAGAGAGAGAGAGTGAGATCAAGAAGAACCACCTATCTTCAGCCGCTGGAAGGGAGCTCAAGCCAAACTTGACTTCGTCATTCCCTACACAAAGAAACCCACTTGCCTTTGCTGGAAGAGATTATCTCTGTGTAGACTTTTCTTCCAAAATTCCCAATTCCTTCTTTCTTGGTGCATCTGAGGCCGTCCTTTGAGGTGATTAACAAGGTATGCCCTTTCCTCTTTGAAATTTCTTGAATCTATTGTGGGGCTTGTTGGGTTCTTCATCGTCATGGGGTTTTTCTTTTCTTGTTTTGGCAGCCAAGCGCCAGACCTCTGGACCTATCCATTCTTTGTTGTCGTCGCGACGAGAGTACCCATGGCATAGTTGCTGGAAAAGGCAGGGTTTGTGTCAGTTTTCGGGCAAGCTGTTAGAAGGGTGCCTTTGCTGAAATCGTGTGGAGGAGTCTCCTGTATGGATTGCTCCCCTTTCTTTTCTTCATTTTATCGTGTGCTAGGCCTCTTTGTGCTAGATATTTAACAGGAAAGGTAAAGGTGTCGAAACCTTGTGTCGCATTCCTTGTTGCTGGAAGCTTTGAGAGCACCGATTTCGTAACTTGGGCATTTAGACTTCTATCTTGGTTTTTCGATAAGTAGTTCTGCTCTTTTGCTGGAAACGTGAGTTATTCTTTTGACTTTGTAGGCATAGACATAGATTGGTGTTTGGCCTAGGCTCATTCTTCCTGTGAACACGTGCTGAATTAGCTTTGGGCTTTCTCCTATGTCGCAGGAAAATGGTTGCTAAGAAACTGACATAATGCATGTTTTGCAATGCTTGAATCTTGTATTATTGGGAGAGAAATTTGCTTGTCATGAGCTCGAGTAATAGATTGCATGATGCTTTGAAACCTTTTTATTTATTTATGTATTTCGCTTGGCATAAGATAGCTTGCTTTGCTTGGCCTGTGAATTTTATATTGCTTGCATGCTAGTATGGAGATTGCTTAGCTTTAACACAGAGAACTAACTTTATACTTTGCCCTTTTGCAGCATATTCTTTGTTGGCAATTCTTGCAGGGATTCACGTAATAAGTCATAATGACCTATGTGATGAGTGATGGCCTATTTCCTCTTGCACGATGAGCTGAAGAAGAGACAGCTACCTTCATCGCTTAGAAACACTTGCCAAGACTTTATCATAGGCATTGGGTAAGCTTTGGAGGCTACTCTCATTTCCAGGTGTTATATACAAAGAAAAAAAATGCATGTTTCCGGCGGCCACTTGATTTTTTCAATACCCTTGTAGCATCACTAAGGGCTGGCTAGAGTGGTTCGATTGTGAGTTGGTAGACCCAACTACCGAAGATGTTTTGCGAATGATTGAAGGTTGCAAAGGAAACATCGTTTCGACCTTACAGTAGTGTGCTAAAAGGGTTTAAGCATGTGTCTTATTAGGACCTCGCGTGGACTTCCCGCTTGATACTTAGAAGAAGTTATAGCACACACTGTTTTTAAAGCATGAGCTGCTTGTAGTATAAAGATGCATGCCCAATACCCTTAAGCAAGAGCTGTCTTTAATGCGTTGAGCCTTAAGGAACACGAATTGGAGAGCCAGTGTCGTAAGCTATGAGACCTTCTCCTTGACAAATGAGGTACTAAGAATGGCACTTGGTGCGTGGTGGAAACATCAAAAGGTTCGTCTCTCTGCACTTCTTTTAGTCATGCACCGTGATATAGTTGAGGTACTGACTTCTCCTTCTTTGCACCGTAATATATATAATTTATTTATTTTTAGCAAGGCCATATCTTCCAACACCATCTTTGTCTAACGCTTGTCCTTATTTCGCCATGCAGGTCACATTTCTTTGTTGTGGGGGGTTGGCTGGCTTGGTGCTTAGTAGCATTTCCTTTGGAAACCGCATTGTGTATTGACCTGTAGCACAATTGGCTGCATTTGGGCTTTTGTATTTTTATGGAGAGCCTAAAGCTCATGTTGTTGGAACCTCAACTTTGTTACATACGTTCTGCCATAACTTTTGATTTAAAATGCTTGAGATATTAAGTTTTGGCCTATTTTGTACTCTTTGCTTGGTTGGAAATAATGAAATGCAAGAATTGTTGAGGTTTGGAATGCATTGAGATAATGATTTCCAGCTTGTTTTGTACACTTCGCTTGGTTGGAAATAATGAAATGCATGAGTTGCTTGAGATTTTAAAAGATTGGGTTGTGGTAGGTGCAAGGTACATGCTGCCAATTTTTTTAAAAGATCACAAAATGTTTGCCCCATTGCCTATGTTTTTTTTTAATTAAAAAAAAGAACATGTTTTGCAAAACAGAAGAAGGTAAAAGCAAGGAAAGAATTCTAGAGGCTTTTTTTCTTTTTCCAAAATACTCCATTCTCATTGCAAATATCATCTTACACTTTGGCATGCCATAATAGTGGTGCATTCTACAAAAGTTGTGAAAGCATATGGTGAAAACACAAAAGGAGTTCATCTTTAAAATAAAATTGAAAAGCTAAAAACAAAAGGATAGGTGCAAAAGCAACTCAACAGTAGTAAGGTTTTGAGCCATTTTGCATTGATGAATACTCCAATCAAATCAAGCCCCCAAGTATGAAAGGGCCAAGGGGTGTGCATGACTTGTAATAGCATGGAAGCTTGTGGCTTAGGTTGGCATATATTTGGCCTGTGTTGTACAAGGCTGCCATGCTCTGCAGAGATATTTAACAGAGCCATAGCTGCTACTTTACTTGCATGCGGCTCATAACCCAACTAATCAAAGAGTAATTTGTAGCTCATAACCCATTGTACTTTCTTCAACTTCTGTGAGGTTCTGAGTGGTTACGGCAGCTGTCTCTTGATAATCTTGCTGACCAAATGAAGCCCCCGAGTGGCGTTCTTCCGGCATGTCCAATATGAATACTTCGCTGCTGGAACCATTCTCCCATCCATTAGCAAGCAGCCATGGGGTGTTATAGCTCGAGGATTTTGAATGTTTATGCCAGTAGACTTTCTCCATGTTTTCGTAAGGCTCCCAAATAGTCTCTGATGGCTTTGAGTCATTCTTCCACGGGTGGCACAATGCATCGTCGTCAAGCAAGTCATCGAAGCATGTAATGACAGCAGCCATCTCCTTCCCCCTTCATTTTGACAAAGGGTCTTCTACAATAGCTCGCCTCTTAAAAGGTAGCTTAAGAGTTCTGTCATGTATCTCGGCATGCAAGATCTTCATCAAAGTTTGATAAGCGATGGTTGGATGACCCACAAACTGATGATAACGACAGTACTTAGGATCACCCTTTTTGACAAGACCCAACCCAAATTCCACTTTGGAATCTGAGCCGAACCCTGTGCGTGTCTGACACTTGACAAGTGCTGAGTACACTTGACCAAAATACCCTTCTAGCTAAAATCAAAATTTAACTTCAAGTTTGACTTCTTTTGTATTTCTAGGGGCTTTTTCGTTTCGGTGGCTACTGATGGGCCTAGGCTGCTGTAAAGAGCCAAATGAATGAAATTGCCCTTGAATTAGAGTTCAAGGAGCAGACCCCAAGAATGTTTCGGAAGGGTAGCTGAGCTTTAGGAAACACCTTGGTCTCCCAATTAAACCAACAATGGCTTACAGATAGATTCTTAGCTTGGCACGAGAAGCTTGTGGCATGGAAGCAAAGCAGTCATGAGTTTAGTATTAAAGAGAGAGAGGGTTGTGAGTTCCTATGAGAAACAGGGGTTTTAAGGCAAAGGGAAAGGGATTCTAAGAGGGTTCGTTCAAGAGAGAGAGAGAGAGATGGGGGAATAACAATGGGTGTGTTGAGTAGTTTCCAGCACCTTGACGAAAGCTCTGTCAAGCTCTGGAATGATTTACCATAAGAGAAAATGGGAGGAGATGGAGGAATAGGGCACAAAATTGCAGGGCTTCAGGGATGAGAGATAATGCTTGCTCTCTGGATGTGGGTTGCCTTTGATGGGTAGAAGATGACCCTTTTTATAGCCACTGGAAGCTCCTCCTTCCCAAGAAACCTTAATGGGTTGTCTCCAATTTAGCCAAGTCTCCCCTTTCATTTCTCTTCTCTCCTTTCGATTCATCCCATTTTATGAAATCTTCCTCTGTCCAAACACACAAAGACAAGATTTTTGGGAGTTCTAAGGTCTTCCCACAGTTGCTTCCGTGTTGAACTCCTATTTTTGACTACCTCCTCACCTTCTTTCCTCCCCTTTTCCATGGCAAGAGCTAGTAGGAGAAAGAAATTGGTAGGGGCGTTGGTTTGAAGGGTACCCCTTCTCTGTGTGCACTATTATCCTCTGGGTCTTTGAATATTCCTCTTTGAGGTTTGTTATGCCCATGTGTTGGAGCCTCCCAGCAGCTTACAAACATAAATATTTTCGCTTTCATCGTGGTCCATGTTTCCAACTAAGTGCTGGAGACTATAGATATTTTCCTTGGCTGCTTGGGCTTTGCTAAAGTGATGGGTTAGCCCATTTAAAGAAATGGGCTAATTTCCTAAAGTGATCAGCTATTTTATTGAGATGATTGGCTAATTTTTCCTAAAGTATTGGGCTTTTTCCTCTAGAGTATTGGGCATTTTTCTCTCTTTTATGCTTACCCACATATTTGGACTCAAGAAATGGGCTGAGTTTTGGGGCTCCCAAACAGCCCAAAACTTCCATTTCTCGGCTCATCAATGGGCCTCATGAAAGCTCATTACCATCCATACCACAACCCACTCAACAAGCCTTGGGTATTTGCGTGGCTTGGGCCCACTTAAGCTTGTAGCGTGGCTAGGTGTAAAAATAATGATTTTCCACTTGGCATTGCATGTCGATTGGCGTGCTTGAATTTTATCGTCTTTGAAAAGGGATATGATGCTTGATGGGATAATTAGCATGGGATTGTAGAGCCAATGCATTTTATAGGCTCATTTCAATTCTTAGCATGATGGATTGCATATTTATTTGGCATGGCACGTGGTAGTGGCTCGTGCAAGTGTGCATGACGAATTTCGCGTGCTTCGAACCGGGTCTTTTTTTCATGAGTTGTAGCACTGGGCCGGGAATTTATTTGGGCCCAACCCTAGATTTTTTGGGCCTCAACAGAATTTATCTAATATATATATATATATGTATATGTATATGTATATGTATATGTATATATAAGTACACAGATATGAGAACAGGGCCGGGGTCTTTTTGATGGCCCGGATTGGAGGATTTTGAGTAGTTCAAATATGAGAATTCTATTATGTATTATAAATGGATGGCCCTTTAAGAAAGCTCGGAGGTCCAAGCTCAAGCCACCTATTCAAGCCTAGGATTTCCGAAAGAATATATGCACATGGAGGAGGCTTCACAGGGAAAGAAATCAAGGAGGTTGATAATAAGTCCAAATGTTCTAAAGCAAGAAAGAATCAAGCATGTCAGAATATCTCCATCAATGCAATCCCACGGATTTTGGGGGGGCCTCAAAAGGAAAGAAATTTCAAAAGAGTTGACATTGGGCTATTCAATGGCCAACCCATGGGCCAACGGACACCCTATATAAATTTCACCAAACAAAGGCAGAAGACACACAACATCAGATATACAAACTTATCTTTCATCTTGCACTTTTCTTTTCCTAGACTTGGGATTTTACTTTTCCAACACCTAGTGTAGCAAGTTCTTCCTTTTCCTAGTGTAACTTTAAATTCTTGTTCAATTTATATTTTCTTGTCATTTAAATTCAAGTTTATTTCAATTGCTGTACTCTTCATTGTTATCGCACTTTCATTCAATTTAATTTCAAGTTTATTTCAGTTTATTGTTCTTATCGTTCTTATCGGCTTTATTTCGTTCATACTTTATTTATCACACCTTACTTTTTGTCTTTATATTTAAATGCACATTTAATTTAATTGCACTATCTTTACTTAAAAAACCTAAAAATCACAAAAACATCCGTACAAAGCCTAACCATCCTCGAGCCTAAGGAAGTGACAGAACCTAGGCCAAGAGGAGGTTCCTTGCTTGGCCGATCAATTGTTTGATTAGAAGTTAGAAGCACAACATATCCATCTACTCACATTCCATTCAAGCCCAAATTTGTGGCTTGGTGGTGGCATGCCCCGCATTCAAAAGAAGAAGGACCAAAAGTTCCTTCTGTCAGCCGTCTTGGCCGAAAAGACCGATACAATTGCATATAAATTATGTTAAACACTTTGTTTTCATCCACTCACATTTTATGTTTTGCGTCCCCATGTCTTAGATATCGAAGAAAGAGACCACCACATCGAGGCATCGAGGCTGTCTACTCTGTAGGAACTTCTTCTTTATCTTTTCCTACTTTGCTCTGGTTGCTTGTTTGAGTTTGGGTAGAGGGCGTGTGGCCCATTTCCTTAATTTTAGCTGTTGTGTGTGCCATTACCGTGTGCATGCTAGAAATTGGGGTTATTTTTGTACTTATTTGTAGGTACTGTAATTTGGGAATTGTTATAATAGCAAGGGAGACTCTGCAGAAATTTTAGTATAAGTCGAACTGTTTATCCTTTTTAAATTAGGGCTACAGGGCTATTTAGTAAAGTGGGTCCAACATCGGATAGATGTTAAATGGGAAGCAGGTTTCATCATGGATTTCGAGGAGGAATCTGAAGCGAGTCCTATTGTTGAGGCCCAAAAAAGTCACGAGAAACCCAAAGACATTCAAAGCCCAATATAACATATAATGTTGGTCATGCGTTAATTCAAGCTGTATTTTGGGAATTAATTTATTAAATAAATATATAAATAGTGTACATGTCATGCCAAAGCAATAATACATTTTTCTTATGCCAATCACCTACCAAGCTCACATGAACCCAAGTCATGTGGTTTACGGGGCTGCATCAAGGATTGTGGTGTGGAAGGTTACGGAGGTTCACAAGGCCCACAGAAGCTCTTGGATAATGGAGACTTTGGCTTAGCTACTTGGGAGCACCAATGTGGATGAGTAAATGAGATATTTTTTCAAGCACTTCCTTTTATCCATAGGAAATAGTCATTTTCCAAATGCATAGCTTTACCCGTTGGAAACAAGCCTTTTCCAGTACTTCCTATTACCCACTGGAAACAAGACACTTCCAACACTTCCTTTTACCCATAGGAAATAGTCATTTTCCAATGTCTAGCTTTACCTGCTGGAAAATAGCATGCCCCAGTGCTTCCTTTTAACCACTGAAAATAGGCTGGTTCCAGCACCTCTTTTTACCTATTGGAAATAAAGGAGAGCCTTCACCTTCTATAAATTGGGAGGCATTACTCAGCCAAAGGAACCCATCTTGGTTGTTGCAAGCTTCTCAACAACCATGAAAGCTCACCTTTCTTTAGCTAATACAAGCATTCCAGCAGCTTCTAATTTTTCTTAAGCCAACACTCCCTCACTCGGCTGCTGCAAGCATCCCAGCAGCCATCAACTCCCATAAAGCATCACCTAGCTTCAAGCTTTTCCTTCCTTCCAAGCTTTAAACACCATAGCCTTCAAACCTCAAGCTTTTCCTTCCATCCTCCTTCTCTTGAAACTCTTAAATCCATAAAGCATCACCTAGCTCCAAGCTTTTCCTTCCTTCCAAACTTTAAACACCATAGCCTTCAAACCTCAAGCTTTTCCTTCCATTCTCCTTCTCTTGAAACTCTTAAATCCCTATAGCCATAGCCACAAACAACAAATTATCAACACCAAACTCAAACATATCCAACACCAAGCCAAGCACATGTATTCTCATTTGCTAAACTTGTGGGTCTTTAGCTTCCACACTCCAAGCTCTCATGCCAAGCTCATATAATCTCATATCAACATCAGCAAGTCATCTTCAACTATTCGTTGAGCTACTGGAAATGTCAACACAAAACATGCAGCCGTTGGAAGAAGAACAAAGTACTCCCCCGGGACTTGCTTCTCCCTCGGGATACTTTGGGCCTAGTTCTCGCTAACTCAGACAAAGGGGCAACGAAGTCTTCATTCATCACTCTATGGCGATCCAAGGATCAACAAGCCCGGATAAGCCTTCGGACGAAAAAGACCCCAACATCAAATAGATGTTGGACGGGAAGTAGGTTTCATCATGGATTTCCAGGAGGAATCCGAAGCGGGTCCTATCAAGAGGAGCTTTGAATTTATAAAGGTTGGGCATCCTAGGTCAAGAAAGAATCACAAGCCTATTCCCATTGGAAGCCCAACTCCAAGAAAAGTCAAAATCCTATTCTAATTAGAGCCCAATTTGCAAAAGGAGTCCAACTCAGAGAAGATAGCCCAGACGCAGTTAGAAAGCCCAAGAATATTTTCATCTCCTACAAGCACCATGCAGAAGCTGGGGGGGAGCATTTATGGGAGCAAATAATCTGGCTTCCAATCACAAGGCGCTAGGTGGACAAGAAAAATATCTCCTAGGTCAATTAAATGAGCCAATTTTTTTGGCAAATTAATTGATACTAAAAATAGGGATACATCTTTATTTAAAAAGATAATATCACCAATTAAGATATCATCCTAATTTGGAGATATCATCATCAATTAGTGATTTGATCCCAATCAATTCCCTAATTGACTCAATCTCTACAAATTTGGGGAAAGAATATCTTCCTTCCAAATAAGAAATTCTTTGAAAGACCCTAGATGTCTATGGCCCAATAAATACATGGCTACATTCAACACACAAGGTAATCTAATTTCTACCCGAAAAACCCTACACTCTCTCTCTCTTGATGCCGCCCCTCTCTCCATATTTTCCAATCACAGTAACGGCCACCACACATGGCTCCGGCCACCCGCCTCTCATTATAGAGAAAACTCTATACCCATTTTTAGCTATTGTTTCACTTAGATTCAATTGAACTAACTTAGGCATCAAAGGACCTTTGGCTAATACCCCTCAGGTGTGGTCTTCTACGCAAGTTTTATTTTACAGGGATCGAGGAAGCGATAGAAAAAAGTTCAAAGGTTGAAGGATCTTCAAGCGAATATTCTCCCCTGAGAATATTTGCACATACAACATGCACGTCATTAGGTATGGCAAAAGCATAGGTGGCACGCCACTTCTGGAAGTGAGCCTTGGTCTTGACACGATGCAAATTAGCCACAAATCTTTTCTTGTACACCTTGGAAACACCTCATAGGTACAAAGGTACTTGTGAATTCTGTGACCAGTTGCCCTCATCGGAACACATAATCACTCTGTAGCTGCAAAAAGGGAAGAAAATTACAAGTGAGATAGCATGTCAAAACCCTAAGTTGCGGCACACCCAAAAAAAAACAAAAAAGACAACAGTCAGCCACCATCGACAACCGCCGACAGCAGCCATCCACAATTGGCAGCAATCAGCAGCAGTTGACCAGCTGCAAAGCAAACCGGACCAACGTTAGCTACAACACAGTGGTAGCAACAGTCATTGCTTGCGACTGCCACCACTGCTGCCATCGCACCAGCCACCCTATGCGGTCATGACAACAACCAGCTGGGCCCACCTAACTAGTCCTCGCTGTAAAGAAAGATCTAAAGAAAAAAATATACAAATTTGACCTACCTTGGTGTGCACTGCTACTCTTCTCTTCGATAAGCAGTACAATCCTCCAACATCTCTCTCACAAGTTAGAAGGTAGAGGAAACAAATTTGCAATTTGAAGAGGAGTGAAGAGAAGTTTTGTATTTATAAAGGTTGGGCATCCTAGGTCAAGAAGGAATCACAAGCCTATTTCAATTGGGAGCCCAACTCCAAGAAGAAATCAAAATCCTATTCCTATTAGGAGCCCAACTTGCAAGAGGTACCCAACTCCACGAAGGAAGCCCAGACGGACTTAGAAAGCCCATTAAATATTTCTCATCTTCTTCATGCCTCACAAGCGCTATACAGAAGCTGAGGGGCATTTGTGGGAACACATATTTCACTAGCTAATAAGAATGTCTCCCTAATTTAATAGAGGAATGTCTCCCTAAATAAAATTTAATTTAATAGAGAAATAACTAAATCAAGGAACCATTAGTACTAAAAAAAAGGTTCAAAAGAGACTGAGTCCTATCAGTCCCTTTTGCTTCCTTTAGGTACTGAAAACAGTGCCTATTGTGGTATTAGGGATTGTTCCATATTAGTGTCTTTATAAGGGGTCGTCTATTGCTAATATCATACGGATTGTAAATCTTCGTGACTTTTCAACCAAATACGCGTACATCTATTATAGTACATTCGTGCCTAATATACTACTTATGCTTATTAGTCCCTTTAAAAATAGAAATGCATTATATTATTTATATATATTTATATTGATGTTTTATTATATTATTTCTAATCTATCCGTGCCTATAAAACATATATATTTTTTAAAAGTTTTAACATTAATAACCCATGTTCAATCCGTGCCTTTCAAAGTATTCTTTTCTTTTTGTGACAAAAATGTATTCATTGTTTTTTTTTTTCAATTAATTTAATTGGGTTTTCCATATTGCAAATTAGTCAAATGACCTTTCAATTGGAGTGATATCAAGGACAACTAAGTGAAGGAGAATAAGGGTTGTCGAAAAGAGAGAAAGAGGATCAAATTATACATACTTTTCTCTATTCAAATATCTTTCAATTCATCTTCACATTCCAATTGATATAAGCTATGCATAAATCATTACAATTTCTAAATTCACTACTCATATAAAGCAAAAGTTAATTGAGATACAGCTTTATGATTGTTACAAAATGATACAAAAGTCAGCCCACACATATAGACTCCCTAATTTCAACAAACATATGTGCATATCCTACTCCAACCATGCCCAATGCTAGCAAGTTCCAAAAGATAAATACCCATGAGTGTGGGGGTCTTTTTATTCCAGTAGCCTGACGAATGGGCTTGGGCTGCTGAAAAGAGAAACATGTTAAATTACCCCTGAGTCTAAGTTCAAAGATCAGACCCCAAGAATGCTTCGAAAGGGTAGTGAAACCTTAGGAAACACCTTGGTTACCTTCACCAACAAAAATAACAACAGCTTACAGGTAGATTCTTAGCCTGGCATGAGAAGCTTGTGGCATGGGAGCAAAACCATCATGAATTTAGCATAAACAGAGAGAGAGCTATGAGTTTTTATGAAAAACAGGGGTCCTAAGGAAAGGGGGAAGGGATTCTAAGAGGGTTTGTTGAAGTGGGAGAGAGATAGGAGAAATAATGGGTGTGTTGAGTAGTTTTCGGCAACTTGACGAAAACTCTGTCAAGTAACGAAACAGTCTGCCAGGAGGGAAAAATAAGGGGAGAAGGATGAACAGAGCATGAAATTGCTGGGTTTTGGAAGCAAGAGAGGAAGCTTGCTCTCTGGATGTGGAGCGAGTGAATTTCCAGTTGCTTGACGAAGCTTGGTCGCACTCTGGATGATGGTTTTTGCTGGGTAAGGAATCTCCCTTTTATAGGCACTTAGAACCCTAATTCTGTCAATCCTCCATTCCCACTTTTCCTTTGCTTCTTTCCATTCACTCCCTTTTGGTGAAATTTCTTTAGCCAGAGTGGATGGGTCACATGCTCTTTGGGGTTCCAAGGTTTTTGTGAGGCTGGACCTTCCCATGGGGATGAGGCGCCACCTGCTTTTCTTCTTGGTTCCCCATTAGAGCTCGTAGAGGAAAGGAGAATGGATAGAGCTTTGGCCTAATGGGTATTCCTCCTACCCGTATGAATTCCCTTTGGTTTTTCTGATGACTTGCATTGGGTTTGTCTTTGGCCATGTGCTAGAGTCTCCTAGCAGTCTAAGCGTACAAACATCTCCTGGTTTTCTATCGTGGTTTTATTTCAAACCATGTGCTGGAGATTTTTTGGATATTTTCTAAGCCACTTGGGCTATTTGGGCCTTCCTAAGGTATTGGGTAATCTCTTCTAGAGTATTGGGCTTTTTCTCTCCTTTATGCTTACCCACATATTTGGGCTCAAGAAATGGGCTTGAGTTTTGGGGCTCCCAAGCAGCCCAAAACTTCCATTTCTCGGCTCATCAATGGGCCTCATGAAAGCTCATTACCATCCATACCACAACCGACTCAAGCAAGCCCCGGGCATTTTGCGTGGCTTGGTCCCACTTAAGCTTGTAGCGTGGCTAGGTGTAATAATAATAATTTTCCTCTTGGCATTGCAAGTCGCTTGGCGTACTTGAATTTTGTCGCTTTGAAGAGGGATATGACGCTTAATAATTAGTTTGGGCTCATAAAGCCAGTGCTTATTTCAACTCTTAGCATGATAGATTGCATATTTATTTGGCATGACACGTGAATCATGACTCATACAAGTGTGAATGACGTTCTTTCGCGTGCTCCAAATCGGGTCTTTTCTTAAAAAGGCATTGCGTTGGGCCGAGAATTTATTTGGGCTCAACCCTGGATTTTTGGGCCTCAACAATGAGCAACATATATACACAAAAATACATCTAAATCTATACTGTATGTACCAACCAAGTTCCATCAAAACTATTAATCCTAGTATTTTAAATGTCACCACCTATTTCCATCCAAACTAGAAATTCAGCAATTGTCAAACAAAAATTTCTAACCATTAGTGTTAGTCATGGGCTGGGTAACTGAAAATCTCATGCACCTGGTACTGGCACCCGATTTTGAGCCACATAAGTCTCCTCCGTCAACATTGCATTTGAGGGAACAGTTGGTGGGGTGGTTTGAGGTTGCTTGTAGCCTACTTGTCTTGACAAAAGTTGCATCAACGACTTTACAGTCAATGATGTCATATCTACTTTGGTACTTCCTACAATACCTGTAAAGGGATTGGCGTTTCTCTCATTCAACCGAGCCTCAAATTCTTTGAATTGGTCCTCAACCATTTTCTCCCTATGTTACATTTATTGCTCCTTCATAGTTGTTTCCTCTTTCATTCTTTCCATCTCAGCACGTGCGTGTTCAACAGTGATCCTTGCTTGTTCGACAGCAACATGTTGTTCCTCGCATTGAGTTCACAATGATTTGACTTCACTCGAAATCCCTTGCTTCTTAGTAAGTATCCCCAGAACATGTCTCCATTGAATTCTAGCACCATATCCTCGAACTCGGTTGCGTTTATTAAGGCCAAATCATTCTACATACAACTTATTTTGAACATCAGCCGTCACCTCACACCTTGCATCCCGCTCCCTTTGTTCGAGTTTCTCCAACTCATCCTATGCCAAAAACCCTAGCATCAAACATAAAGCTTGCATTTGATGCTAATGAGTAGTCACAAGAATTATTTGCTATTGTCCATTTACTTTTGCCTAGTTTTTATAATAAGCATTTTACTACAATAGAGATGGTAAGTCAAAGAAAACATGTGGCATTATTAACACAAAGGGAGCAAGACATATGTACAAAGACAAATCAGCTGGTCTTCAGCCATGCGAACCATTCCAATACGCAAACAACAAACAATAAAACCCATTTTCCATTTCATTTATTCAGGCTACTCATCAGCAACTTTGGTTTTTTGCAGAATTTAGATATATATATATATACATATAACACATATATATATGTGTGTTATATATATATATATATATATATATACACATATATTATATATGGTTAGTCTTCGAACAAAATAAAGAGAAATAAAAATTCAATTAAGGCTCAAACTGTTAAACAATTACTTCCCAAATATTAAGCTTGGAAACTAAACTTACAAATTCTTTTTACGCTTCATCATTAATTGGCTTTGGAATAGGATCCTTCTTAGTCTAAATAAGCCTGAAAAATGTGCACCGGTCCAGTACTTCACAAGGGTGACTAAGTTACTTCATTACATACAATCCATACATTATACACAACATACATAAGTTTATATAATACTTTATTGGGGTCCATATTTCAACTAATGTTCTTGTAGTTTTTGTAAAACTATATTTTTAACTTTACCATAGAGGACATGCTGCTTGTGTCCTAAATCTTAATGATATCCATGAAAAAATTAAATATTGATCACTGTAAACTATTGACCAACACTATTTCATAACATCTGCATCCCTATAAAGTTTCTTGATAAACATATATTCAAACTGCATATTAGTTAGTTTGGCTATAAAATATGAGCATTGAGAATAATAGAATCAATATGTTTTACAACCTGAAATTTCAATTCTACATCCTATGCAAATACAGAGCTGGGTGACATTCAATCAACTTGACTCAATTAAATTTAAAATAAAACAATTTGTAATGTCAAGTTCCAGCCATGCCCTCTAGTAGAGAGAAAATTGAGATATAATAGAGACAGAACATTTGAATTATATTTGTGAAAAATTCAGAGAGAGAAACACAAGTTAAAAGAACAAAAAAGGCAAAACTGAACAAGAATTTGACAAACTTTTTAAATTTGAGCTATTATTTCTTAAATACATGCATTTCATTAACATGTATTTGACAAACTTTTTAAATTGGAGCTATTATTTCTTAAATACACGCATTTCATTAACATGTACTGTATTGCACATTTATTGACTGCAGTTATGTCAATTGGAACCTTGGCATAGCAGACAAGCTCCACTAGAAAACACTAAATCCTTCTTTTAGTCAATCACTCACTGTATGCATAATGCAAATGATAACTACACAAAAGAACATCATATATAGTCTATGTGAATTAAGATAATTGATTAGAGCAATGTGTTCATTCTCTTGTAACCAGATTTGAATCCCTTGTCCCTAATTAATTACAGTAATTTAGAACACAACATTTTAAAAAGTAAAAACAAAAATAGAACAAATGCATTTAATTCATTGGAACAGTACAGTTAGCATAACAGTAGCATTCAATTCCATTTAACACAGATTAAAGCACTCTGCTAGCGTCATATTGGAACCTAAATTCTTTGTACATATACTATTCCTTTTCTCTTTTTTTTTCTTTTTTTGGGTCAAGTACATATTCTACTATTATATCATATTTTGGGTTTTTTGAACCTGAAGGTATAACTTTTATCCAACCAAATTGAAATAGGAAATTATTCTCAGTTTATACAGAAAAATTATTACAAATTTATAAATAAATCCAATCCTAGACATGTATTTATGGAAAAACCCAAGCACTATTTAAACATAGAAACACACCCAAAATCAACCCCAAAGTCAACTTTTTGGGTGTGTTTATAAATGGATTTTGAGTGTGTGTAATGATGGGTTTTGGGTGTGTTTATATGTTTAAATAGTGTTTGGGTTTTTTTATAATTTAAGCCCCCATTTTGGGTGTTTTAGTGAAACTCCCAAAAATTATTAACTTTTCATGGGTTTGAAACATTTTTTTTCTTTATATGTTATATCTAACATCCATAGGACTCCAAGTTAACCAAATAACACCCCTAAATGCCCTTATCTATGTACTCAATTCATTCTATACCGCTTCCCTTTCCAATCTTTAGGATAAATCTCTTCAAAGATAATAGATTGTCTCACTCTTTCACTCAATCAATTGTGTCACTCTTTCACTCAGTCTCCAAGATGCAAAAAAAACACTTACTTTGGGTTCTTGAGAAAAGCTTCAAGATAACCCACCCAGAACTATGGCTGCATGTCAAGTTTTTCGATGTCGATCTGGGAGTCTGATGCAGCAGCTCAAAGCACCATTACAATCAGGGAAAATTTTGATTTATTACCAAGGAAAATCATAACTCAAATATGGAACAAAATTAAAATTGTTTAATAACCATGTGTAGAAGATCAACAGAGGGATACTGTAACTCAAATCTGGAAACAAAACAATAAATCAATCACTTTTCCTAAATAATTATAACAGTATGAAAAATAGAGAAGGTTGAGAAGATGAGTGAGGAAGGTTGAGAAGATGAGTGAGGAAGGTTGAGAAGAGAAGGATCGGGAAATAAAATATTATTGGGGGTAAATCTAATGTTTTTGTGCACTGAAAGACGGTGACTAATAGCACTAGCCACGGAAGAACAGTGACTAATATGATAAAGGACTGAAGACAGGCTCTAATATATTGAGGGATTGTCATTGTTTTTTATATCCGTGCCTAATGAAAAATTAAGTACATTCGTTTTCCCAATATACGGCGGTATTGATGTCCATTCATTTAAAATACGAATGCTAATAACAATAGGGATTGTTTTGTGTCTCTAGTATTGCAATAGGGACGGTTTTGTGTCCCTTGATGTTTATAGGGACGGTTTAATAAAAATATGTCCTAAAAAGCAGTTTTTACTAACTGTTTGTCTATCAGCCTCTAAAAAAAGGGTCCTTATTGCCCAAATTTCTAGTACTGCAATTTCCACCAAATTTCTTGAGTTAATTCCTATTATCTTTTTGGGAAAGAATAATCCTAACCAAATAAGGATTATTAACCCTATCATACAAGGAGCACTATGGCTACTCAAGACACTCAAGGTAACTTGAAAAACCCTAACTAATTGCTACCGAAATTCTCTGTCTCCTTCACACAGCTTCAGCCAAATATACACACGACTTCTCATTAGGATATTTTAAAGCATCAAATACCTTAAACTCCACGGTTTCCTCATCGAATGCCATTGTGAGAGTGCCGTCATACACATCAATTTTGTCCTTGTTGTTCTCATGAATGGACATCCTAGAATCAATGGAAGGTCTTTTCCAGGACTAGGAACTTCCTTCATCTCGAGCACTAGAAAGTCAGCTAGGAAAATTAGCTCATTCACCTTGACCAAAACGTCTTCCAACAGTCCCTTATGTCACAGGATGAGCGAGTGGCGCGGCACGGCGGAAGCGAAACACAAATTTCGCCAATCGAAGCACACCCATGCGGCCCAGGATCCCTTCGGATCCCAGTCAGCCTTCTCCCACTTCATGATATTCATGACTCTCACAACTCCGCGAGAGGTTCCCCTTCAAGTGTCGTCTCCCACAAGACAACGAATCACACTACCTTGTGACAATACAATCACTCCGCATTCGACAACAAACCCTCGACGCCCATACATCAAGCATTGCATAAGACACGTCAACTGCATCAACCATGTCGCATGCTTAACTCATGGCTCGCTCATGTCCAAGTCAAGACATAGCGATCCAACACACCATCGGTTTACCCACACTTCTGTCGGTCATTCCTTTAGCGTCCACAATAGCCCACATCCTCAAGCTATACACACAAGCTGTCATACTTGCATGTCGCCCAAGCCTTGGAGACATATGTATTCCGAATGTCCCACATAACCATCTATGCATTGCATGGGGTTGTACAGGCATCCGAATATCTTCCTTCCATCTTGGACTAGGCCAAACCCAAGCTAAGTCCATCGAGTATTGTCAAATGCCTCGCTAGCCGATGGCATAGCGAATGCCATAAGTTGACCTCACTCTTTACATCGATGCGCAATACGAACGGCCCCGCATGTTCGTACTGTCCCCGGGAATTCCTTTCTCTCGGAGACGCAGATTATCCTTCAACAATCTTATGCCCGCCTTATGACTACCTCCAATGTCATAAGGATGCTCACTTAGTGCCACAAGGGTGTAAGCACCAGGGGTGGTGGAGAGCATGACACCATGTCACCCCCATATATAGCATTTTATGCATTTAGCCTTCTGCCAGGAGAGAACATCACCTATGCACGAGGAGTCATAATTGGGCATAACTCCCTCATACGAACTCCGAATGGCGAATCGTCAGTCGCGTTACCTACGTCTCAACATCACGAACGTTCTGATATTCTTAGCTTCTTCAGGTTCCTCCCGTAACCTTCAGAAATACCCAAAATACCCTTCACAAGTGCAACTCGGCCAACACCAACCATTCTAGCTCTTAAGCTCTCGCCCTTCCACACTTAGACTACCTCATAAGCACATAGATGTCCCAACGAAGTCACGGTAGCACTTGTCTATGTGCGACCCGTGACATTCTCCCCCACTGATAGTGTCGACGTCCTCATCGACATGCCCACTGCACTGTTGCATAACAACACCATATAAGAATAAACTCTTCTCTTCGCTCCGAGGCACCTCTATGTTCTCCCCCACTATGTGCGACCCGTCAAGTACTTCTGCATTTTCCACATTTAAAGAGATGCACCCTGCCCGAGCGTGACTCGAAAGCCAATCGTGTGTCCTCCACGGCACCTCCATTTGTTTGTGCTCCTGCATTGCCATACTTCCAAGGCATTCGAGGTTCTCCCCTACTTATCTCGTTGGCACACCTTCACCTCAAGGTGCCTCCACAGCAAAGTTCCACAACACTTAGGCCATCACAATTCACCAAGGTTAGACATCATCCCTACTACGAGTAGAACCACCTGACTACCAACGCCCCAAACTCAGACTCGGCAGAACCACTTCTATAGCATCCACACGGGAACAAGTAAGATGTCAACACCTAAGTTACTCCAACAGTGTCTGCCATCAAGTGCGGACAGACTCCATGTCCTTAGAAACCATGCTCACAAGTGATACTCCGGGATCCACCTCTTTGGAACACTCCCTCATTCCAGAAATCAGTTAGCAACCTTGTGTCAAACATTGTGCCTCACCCACCCGTTCTCAACAATTGTAAGAGCAATGACTTAAGTGACTCCTTCATTAAAGCCTAGCCCGTCAGCGACTTACTCCCTTCGAAGATTGCACCATTCCGGTCTTGAACTCCCACAACCTTTCCCCGAACAAAGGTCTTGCACCATTCGTTCAACACTCATCACCAACCGACTTCAACACAACCGTTTATGGCATTGCGATGGTTTGAGTATTGCCAATCTTCGGCACTCTCACCAAGCTCCGCTGCCATTGTCTTCAATGAACTTCGTGGGCCTCCCCCACTTATTTCGTCGACACACCCTCACATCAACGTGACTCCGAAGCAAAGCTCTACAACACTTTAGGCCTTTGCAACTCACCAAGGTTCAATGTCATCCCTACTATGAGTAGAACCACCTAACCAACGCCCAAACTTGAACTTGGTAGAACATACTTCCGTAGCATCCCCAAGGGAACAAGTAAGACATCCTCCCTCAAGTTACTCCATTTTCGGCCTGCCAAAAAGTGTGAATGTACTTTGTCCTTAACCACCATCCTCACAAGAAAGACTCTGGGATCCACCTTTGGAACACTCTAGCATTCCGAATATCAGCTCGCAACCTTGTGTCAAACATTATGCATCACCCCCACGTTCTCCATAGTTGCAAGAGCAACCACTTGAGCGACTTCTTCTTTAAAGCCTAGTCCTTCAGCAACTTACTTCCTTTGAAGACAGCCCCCTTTCGGTCTTCCGCCCTCACAAATCTTCCCTAAACAAGGGTCTTGCACTGTCTGCTCAACACTTGTTGCCAACAGAGTTTACCACAACCTTCAATGGTATGTCATGGTTCGAGTGCTAGCCAATCTTCAACACTCTCACCAAACTCGCGCTCTCATCCTCCCCACATCCTGAACTGAACAAACAACATCACTTCATCACGAGTCAGAACCCCTGCCTACCCGAGTTCCCGGCGCTTGGTGCACGAATTAAAAAACTAGGCAACCGAGCAGCAAAACCAACCATCATCCCACATCTTAGAGTCATCCTGCTTGATGTCTTCTCAAAACTTCGAGGCAATCTCTTTGGATACCTTCACCCTTCCATAGGATCCGGCACCAAGACGGGTTTCCAACAACCGTCACTCAACTTGATTCCAACAGTCATCTACGTCATCTACAGTGACGTTGGGTTCTTCATCCAACTTCGCAAGTCCATTACCCATCACAAGCAATAACCTGCTACCTCGCTATCAAAGTTTCTCCATCACCAATCTCTTCTAGGTACGAATCCCTCACACAGAAACCACCATCTGAATCGATCAGGTCTGATACCACTTGTCACGGGATCAGAGCTTCACTGTTTGTATCAAAGGTGCGAATCATGTGAGCAGAAGCCACCATCTAAATTGATCGGCTCTGATACCACTTGTCACGGGATGACTTTTTCAGAGTCTTCCTTCCGTGCAGCCTTAGACTTGATCGCCTCTCGAACAAGCTAAGTCAGCCTCCTTCCTACAACACAAGATCGAACCAAGCAAAGAACAATCGCAAGAGCAAGAAAGCAAAAGAATGCTAAAGAAAGTTTGGGAGAATATCTGCTTGTATTGCTACTCAAATGCTTTACAAGTTGTGAGGTGAGGATACACAATGTGACATCCCTCTTATATATTGTTCTTATCCCACCTACCACCACAGTAGGTGGCTAAGATACAATATCACCTACCGGCATCTACCAACTACTGTCACCAACCGTAATCTACCTACTATTGTACAACGAATTTGGACAAGTGGGCTAAGAGGTCTAGCATGGTCAATCCAACGGGCTGGGCCCTGAACATGCGGGTCGTGACATTCTCCCCCACCTAATCCGGTGACGTCCTCGTCGCCGCGGTAGATGGGCGAGCGGTGCGGCGCAGCGCGGCGGAAGCGAAACACAAATTTCACCACTCAAAGCACACTCGTGCGGCCCAGGATCCCTTCATATCCCAGTCAGCCTTCTCCCACTTCATGATATTCATGACTCTCACAACTCCGCGAGAGGTTCCCCTTTAAGTGTCGTCTCCCACTAGACAATGAGTCACACTACCTTATGACAATACAATCACTCCGCATCGGACAACGAACCCTCGACGCCCATACATGAAGCGTTGCATAAGACACGTCAACTGCATCGACCACGTCACATGCTTAACTCATGGCTCTCTCATGTCCAAGTCAAGACATAGCGATCCAACACACCATCAGTTTACCCACACTTCTGTCGGTCATTCCTTTAGCGTCCACGATAGCCCACATCCTCAAGCTATACACACAAGCTGTCATACTTGCATGTCGCCCAAGCCTTGGAGACATATGTATTCCGAATGTCCCACATAACCATCTATGCATTGCATGGGGTCACAACCCATGCGTACAGGCATCCGAATATCTTCCTTCCATCTTGGACAAGACCGAACCCAAGCCAAGTCCATCGAGTATTGTCAAATGCCTCGTTAGCCGATGGCATAGCGAATGCCATACGTTGACCTCACTCTTTACATCGATGCACAATACGAACGGCCCCGCGTGTTTGTACTGTCCTCGGGAATTCCTTTCCCTCGGAGACGCAAATTATCCTTCAACAATCTTATGCCCGCCCTTATGACTACCTCCAATGTCATAAAGATGCTCGCTTAGTGCCACAAGGGTGTAAGCACTAGGGGTGGTGGAGAGCATGACACCATGTCACCCCCTATATAGCATTTTATGCATTTAGCCTTCTGGCAGGAGGGAACATCACCTATGCACGATGAGTCATAATTGGGCATAACTCCCTCATACGAACTCCAAATGGCGAACCGTCAGTTGCGTTACCTGTGTCTCAACATCAAAAATGTCCTGATATTCTTAGCTTCTTCAGGTTCCTCCCGTAACCTTCAGAAATACCCAAAATACCCTTCACAAGTGCAACCCGGCCAACACCAACCATTCTAGCTCTTAAGCTCTCGCCCTTCCACACGTAGACTACCTCATAAGCGCATAGATGTCCCAACGGAGTCACGGTAGCACTTGTCTATGTGCGACCCGTGACACTTAGGATACTTGATTGATCGATCAGCCAATTGTATGCTCACGGAAGTCTTCTTAAACTCACCTAAATTTAAAGAATCAAAAACAGAAAAAGGCATCAAATTAATTGAAGCACCTAAGTCTAATAAAGCATGTTCAAACCTTTGATTTCCAATGAGACAAGGTGCAGTAAAACTCCCTGGATCCTTTAGTTTAAGAGGCAATTTACGCAATAGCACAGCTGAGACTTCTTCACTCAAGGCCACGGTTTCATGCTCCTTAAACTTTCTCTTATTTGTACAAAGGTCTTTGAGGAATTTTGCATAGCTTGGAATTTGTTGGATCGCATCGAGCAAGGGAATGTTCACTTGCACTTTTGAAAAGTCTCTAGGATATCCTTTGAAACTTGCTCCTTCTTTGAATTCAAACCTACGAGGAAAAGGAACTTTTGAAGTAATCGAATGATTCACAAGAGAACTTATCTTAGAGTGGTCACTTGGAACCGTAAGCTTGGGAGAGGGGGCAGCCACTGTTTTGGTTGAATTTCTCTCGTCATTGTCAACATTTTCCACCTCTTTTCCACTTCGAAGAGTAATCGCCTTTGCTGTTTCATGGTCTCCGTTAGGATTTGGAATTACTTGGCTTGGAAACTTTCCTGGCTCTCTTTGACTCAAGGAGGCTGCAATTTGTCCAACTTGGTTTTCAAGGCTCTTGATTGCTGTAGACATTTGTGCCTATGTTTGCCTTGTTTCATGCATAAAACCTTGAGTGCTTAATGCCAAAGAATTAATTAACTCTTCTAAAGACTTACCTTACCCATGAGGTGGTGGTGGCACATTTTGTTGAGGAACAAACTGATTTTGTTGAACCGGGGTTATTTGCACATTTTGGTTGTTCTTCCATCCAAAATTAGGGTTTTGCCACCATCCCGAATTGTAGGTGTTAGAAAAAGGATCATTTCTTGGCTTTTGTTGCTGCATATAGTGTGCTTGAGCCATCTCTTCTCCATCACCATACAAACATGGACAAGACTCCGTAGGATGTCCGGGATTAGCACACACGGCACACACTTGTGCTTGAGGGATTAACTGCTTAACAAGGTTAGTCAAATTAGCTATTTGAGGACCAATATCACTAGCACTTACCTCATAAACACTTGCTTTCTTTGGGGGAGCTCTCTGGTAATTAAATTGTTGAGAGTTTGCCGTAATGTTCTCAAACATCTCCTCAGCTTGAGTAGCACTCTTGTTCATCAAGCCTCCTCCACTAGTAGCATCAACCATCATCCTCTCCGAATCAATTAATCCCTCATAAAATTATTGCATAAGTAGCCAATCTTCAATTTGGTGATGAGAGCAAGAAGCTAGGAGTCTCTTAAACCGATCCCAATACTCTAGTTGCTGCACTCCCATGATCTCCTTCCTAATATGGTTTGTCTTTTGAGCTAGAAAGAACTTTGCAAGGAACTTGGAAGCCAATGTTGTCCATGTGGTGATAGATGCACTAGGCAAAGAATAGAGTCACTCCTTGGCTCGTTCCTTGAGTGAGAATGGAAACAAACGCAATCTGATTGCCTCATCACTAATCCCTTCATTGTGCATAGTCGGGCACATGACAAAGAAATCCTTGATATGTATGTGAGGATCATCCCCAGCCTTGCCATAGAATTGTGGCAAAAGGTGAATGGTGCCACTCTTGATCTCAAAGGTGGTTGTAGTGGCTGGGTATGCTATGCAAGATGGCTGGTCCAATGCTTTAGGAACTGTGAAATCCTTCAAAGGTTGGGTGAGGTTGTTGAGTTCTAACTCGTCTCCCATCTTGATTGGAAGTGTATCTTGCTTATTTTTATCTCAACGGAGATAACGAAGTGTGTTCTCTAGTTCAGGGTCGTATGGTATAAGCTCGTGACTCTGCAAATGACAACCCAACATATACCTGAAATTGTAAACAAAACTCAATTAGATTGACAATCCCCGGCAATTGCACCAAAAACTTGTTGGTAATTTTTAACAACAATATTAAAACCTTGCAAATGCACAAATCAAATGATAGTATAGTAAGCAAGCAAGGGTCATTCCCACAGAGATTGTAATCTAAAGAGATGTTTATCAATATCACGCAACGAAAACACAAGGACTTCCACACACACGCCAACACCAAGGGGGTTTTTGATTTGATTTTGTGAATAAAACAAACCAAGGAAAAGAAAACAAGACAGAATTTAAATTAGAGTCTAAGAGAAATTGGTTTAAAATTAGTCAAGAACAATAGCTAGGACTCACTATCCACCTCCAAACAATCAATCAATCCATAAACAACAATAGATAATCAATTTATAGCAAGCATATGATGACGACATTCACAACAAGATCATGGCATTTGACTCGAGTTGTATGATTCTCTCTTAAGTATATGTAAAGTGTATGGCATTTACCCAAATTAACAATCAAGAATCCATTAAGATCAAAGAGAATATGAGTGTCACAAAAACCCTAAAACATGGCATTTGTTATTAGGAATTCAAGAATCGATTTCTCATAACTAGTTCTTAACCCAATTATTCGTTGCAAACAAGAACACATTCAATATGACAATTGACCTATGTTCTACAACAATTTAATTCCAATACATGCTTCCAAGTTAGCTACTCAAAGAAACAAAATATCAGAATTCACATAACATAGAGAAACCGAAATCATCACGCTTGTAGAAAATGAAAATCCATTCAAACTTGTTTACAAAATTGAAATCATGTTTAGGGCTTCAAGATTAAGCCCTAACTAACAAGAAATTAGTTACTCATGTTCTTTGATGAACTCAAAAATAAATACATAAGAACTGAAAAAGTAAAAGAGGAAAGGAAAAGAAGAACTCATTGGCAGATTTCTCCTCTTGTGTGGTTGATCTCTTTAGGACGTGAATTCTTTGTATCGGGGCATTGGCTGGCCTTTTATATAACTTATATCAGAGTTCTAAACCCTAAAATTGACTGACAAGTCATCCAAGAAGTCTTGGTAAACAAGGAATCCAAATAAGAAAGTAAAAATCACAATTCCTAACTCCATAGGGAAATACAGCTCAGCCCAATTGTCACATGATTTGGGGATCTTCCGCCTTGTAGAAAAATCATTAAAAATATATTTTAGAAATATAAATGTCTTATCTTTCCAACCATATAGCACGTAACTTGGAAAATTTGGGAAGGCTTCCGTTTCTTCACATTCACGTAACATGTACGAAACTGTCCTGTCTGCACGTGGGCTAATATTACTTGTAATACTGTACCAATTGGCTCAGTAGAAAATTCTAGAAAAATCACATATTGAACTTCAAGATGTTAGCTTTCATCTCCAATTGGCCTTGCACCAAAATTCCTCCGAAAAGTCAATTTTCCCTTAAAAACCTTCTAAGAGCGCAGAAAAACTGAAAACCAGAAAAGTAAAGTAATAAGCCCTTTTTAAATCTAAGTCTCCTACAAAACCTAAGTAAAAAGAGTACATAAATGAGTATATTTATGGACTTATCAACTTCGACCACCCGGCTCTCCTCGTGAGAGAAAACTCCGTCCACTTTAGCTATTGTCGTATTTTTTCAAGGTCCAATCGAATTAACTTAGGCATCACAGGGCCTATGGCCAACACCCCGAGTGTGGTCTATTTACTCCAATTTATTTCACAAGGATTGAGGAAGAAGAGAGAGAAGGAAGATTGAAGATCAAGGAATCAACTCGTGAATATTCCCCATGCGGAAATTTGCTCAAACAATGCTCATCCTCCTACTCATGTTCGTCAAATCAGCTGAATTCTTGATCCACAACGACTCCAGCCCTAAACACAACGCAGTGTCGTTGAGCTCGAACCTAGTCGCCGAACAAATCCCATGGATCTACCTCAGTGTGAGGCCTCATGCTAGTGCCTGCGATGCATAGGCAAATTTGAAATCGCCACGGACGTTGTTGATGGTTTTGGGGAAGCGAGAATTCAAAAAAATTAGTATAAGTCACGATTGATTGTTGGTGGTAGTAAAAGAAATCTGAACCGTCTATGCTATTAGGAAATGGTTGTTTGGAAGTGTTAATCCCAGTAAATGGTTTTGTGGTTTTCATAACTAGGGATTGGCCGGAGGGGAGTGTGGCTTTGCTACTGATGGTTTTGGGCGATTGTGGCTCTAGGTTAAATAAAAACTTAATTTTTATTAGTTTTTTATATTTTTATATTTTTAATTAAATATATAAATATATGTTTATTCAAGTCCCAATCCCAATCCAACATTATACTAAACGCAGGATAAGTCTTATTCAGCTTAGTTCAAGCCAAAGACAATCCAGAATAATCCTTAACCATAGTCTATGTTTACACCATAATCAACCGAGCATATCCAGCCTCAAAACAACTAGCAGCAAGGCAGCCACGCCTTCTCCCCTACCGAATGAAGACACTCTTCCAAGGTGCCAAACTATTGATGTTCTTTTTCGGAGAGGGTTAACTTAGAGAAAAGGGGTTTGCCTTCAACAGTGGAGAAGGTGTGGACCTTCGATGAGGGGCTAGCCTGCAGAAGACAAAGTAGGAGAAGCAATCGTTAAGCTTCGGACACCAGTGTGGTGCCGGCTGAAGACTCTCCGATGCTTAAGTCAACTTGTAATATATCCTAGCTGGCCTTGCCAAACGGCAAGGCCCATGAACAAACAATTACGGGGTCGCAAAGTCTCAGTCATGCCCAGGTCACTTACCAAAGCTGTAATGCCCAAGCTTCTTTCCTTGCCAACAGATCTTAAGCACGTTGCAGTCACGCCCCTCTCACAAAACCCCCCCAGAGTCCTTGCCGATCGGCACGGACCTTGCTGAAACCGCCTGCACTCACAGTTCTCTCCTAATGATCACCCCAAACCTAGCTCAACCTAGAGAACCGAAATTCGAAATGGGTTGCTTGCCGAAGACCCAAACGATGACCAAGCACCACGGGGACTCCTACCGAACAGCAGGTCCAGCGCGAAAAATGAAGAGAAGCCCACCACCCGACTCAAGCTGCCCCAGGAACCTTCCTTCAAGCTGTTCCTACCGAACGGCAGGCTTATGCCTCCCGACTCTCAAGCCCAACTCTTCCTTGCTGAACGAAAATGACCTTTGTGTGCCGAAGCTGTGTGGTGTTGAAGCCGACTCAAAATTGTCGAACAGCAAGAGTTATAAGGAGTTATTTATACTCTCCTCCCCAAGCCCTAACACTTATCCCTACATTTTGGACTCCCTCACCAAAGGCCCATCTCTACGTGGCCCAACCCGGCCTCTTGCCAAACCCCATGCAGCCCACTTGCTGAAGCCAGGAACAAAAGGCTAGCCTGCTTGTCAAACAGCATGGGTCACCAAACCTTCTTGGGCTTCTGTCCTTTTCAAGCCTTGAGCACCCCAAGCCCCCCCAAAAAAAAAGGGGTCGAATGGCAAGGGGCTATTAAAGGAAAATTGAAGCCCACTCTCTTTTCTCCTTCAAGTTTCAGCCCAATCTTCTAGGACCCAAGCCTTTGCTGCCCAAAACCATCCCTTGGTTACCAAACGATAGGACCCGAGTCATAAGCACTGAGGCCCACAAATTTTCTTGCTGAAGCTTCAAGACCCAAGTCTACTTTTCTTTTAAAGGTACCCAGCTACCAACAATCCCAGAGGCTCACACAACCACCATATCTTCCAAGTGTTGAAGCAACTTCTAACTTGCCAACTTGGGGGACTAGGGAATGCCCTACGGCTCCCACTGAACTTGGAATGCTCGGTCATGATTACACAAAAATCTAACAAGTTCCCAACCCAAAAGTTACTTCTTGACCGTGAACTTGGGGGACTACTGTTTACACCGTAATCAACCGAGCATATCCAGCCTCAAAACAACTAGCACCAAGGCAGCCACGCCTTCTCCCTTGCCGAAGGAAGACACTCTTCCAAGGTGCCAGACACCTGCCGAAACTCCCAACTGCCGACTCTCTCAAACTGCTAAACCTAATCTCCATGACACGTGTCACCATCACAGCGACTTGCACAAGGTCCCAAATCGAAATTCCACACAAACCTCCCACTTTCACTTCCCTATAAATAGGGAACAGTACCCTAGTAAAAAGGGTAACTACTTTCTTGCCTTTTATTGTCACTCCACCAAAGTTACTATTCTTAGCTAACTTAAGCATCGAAGAGCTTTCGGTCGGCACCACACTGGTGTCCGAAGCTTAACGATTGCTTCTCTTACTTTGTCTTCTGTAGGCTAACCCCTCACCGAAGGTCCACACATTCTCCACTGCTAAAGGCAAACCCCTTTTCTCTAAGTTGACCCTCTCTAAAAAAGAGCATCAACAATCTATGCCAAGACAACCCTATGTAACATACGAGGCCTACTTCTACTAAGTGTCAACATTACACTAAACGCAGGACAAGTCTTATTCAACTTAGTTCAAGCCAAAGACAATCCAGAATAATCCTTAAACATAGTTTATGCCAAGACAACCCTATGTAACAGATGAGGCCTGCTTCTACTAAGTGCCATACCAAAACTTGCAATTTTGCTCTTCTAGAGAATCACAATTTCAAATTTTCTTCCACTTCTCGACTTTTCTCTCTACTGATTCTAAAGGCTTCTAGTTTCTTGAGAGAACTCATATAACTTTGTTGGAGCTATCAATGGCATTATCATCTCATTTCTCAGTCTTAAGGCGCCTTTAGCTTTAGTGTACTTTTAGCACAACACAACAGGAATTTCACTTGTTCTTTATGCACCTTTAGCTTTTTTCGCATCTGCTCTGGTTAAATTAATTCTCGGGTTGTTGACCGAAATGGTCCCCCAACTTTTGCTCCAGTCTTATTAAAGTTCACCAACTAAAATTTTCATTTCAATAATTCTCTAACTCTCTATTTAGTATCAAATTAGTCCTATCATAAAAGTCTATCATTTTGCCATTAAATGTAGGGGTAAAATCGTCCATACATAATAAACACTAATAAAAATTTAATTAAATAAACATTTGAAAATTAAAAAATACTTCCCTAAAATAAACTTTTTTTGTTCCAAATAACTTTTACAATAAAACCACTAACAAAGAAAAAAGATGTTTACACCATAATCAACCGAACATATCCAGCATCAAAATGACTAGTACTAAGACAGACACGTCTTCTCCCCTGCTAAAATACCCCAAAGGGACACAGACAAATCCCTAGAAAGTGACGGACATCATCACATTCCGACATGTCGAAGGAAGATACTCTTCCGACGCAGTAGCCACCTACCGAAGCTCCCGACTGCCGAACCTAATCTCTAAGGACACGTGTCACCACCAAAGCTTGCACAAAGTCCCACATCAAAACTTTGTGCAAAACTCTCATTTTCACTTCCCTATAAATAGGGAACAATACCCAAATAAAAATGGTAACTATTTTCTCACATTTACTGTTACTCGGCCAAAATTACCACATATAGCTGACTTAAGCATCGAAGAGCCTTCGGCAGGCACCACACCGATGTCCGAAGCTTGACGACTGCTTCTTCCTCTTTGTCTTCTGCAGGTTCTTCCAACTCCGAAGGTCCTCACCTTCTTCCCTGCTGAAGATCATACCCTTCTCGAAGTTGACCCTCCCAAAAAAAGCATCAATCCACTAACCTCAACACCCCCTGCACACTATATCACTCAATTTGCCTGCACTTCATTTATATGCACACCTTCCTCAGGCTTAACACCTCCACCACCCTCTTCCAAATTTTTCTACAAGTACAGGCATTTCACAAGCACCATGACCAAAAAAAAATCATCATCATCCCTCTCAAATCCAAACCCCACAGTGCAGTATGACCACCTCTCTCTCTCTCCTTCCCAAAACCCCACCACCCTTCAATCACAAAAGAAAAAGTCTGGTGTAGAAAAATTTGGGATAAATAATCTGTCTTATTGATATTTCACAAGGGTTGGTTGGTTTTGATGGAAGAAGAACATATATTTTTCTTCTCATGGGTGTTTGGATCGGATAGAAAAATCTATTTGAGAGAGAAACTCAAAGTGGTAAAAGAAGAATGTTTTTTAGGAACTCATGAAGCCCACCTAGCTAGAGTTCTAATTTGGAGGAGCTTTTAACATGTGGACGGTTTTACCCCTGAATTTAATTGCAAAATTGATAGACTTTGACGGTATGACCATTTTGATACTAAATGGAGACTTCGAGGACTATTGAAATGAAAATTTTAGTTGGTGGACTAAAATGAGACTAGAGCAAAAGTTGGAAGACCATTTCAGTAAATAACCCTTAATTCTCACTTGGCATTTAGGGCATTGTAGGATATAACGTACTCCAAGAATGGCCATTCTATTTCCATCCTACAAAACAATGTCACTCTACCAGGAGAATCCATAATGGGGCATAAGATTATCTTAAGATTATCTTAATTGCCAGTGCCCAGCACTAGTCTCAACCATGTTAAGGATTTTCTAAACTTTGTGCTTATCTAGCATTCATTATGTTATTCAAAGTATGCTATTAGATTTCTAGATGCCCTAAACTTTCTTAGTGACTCATAGCTAGTCTTTCCACCTAAGATATCTCGCCTTCAAAGGACATGGGCAATTTCTTCAGGCACGATGCGGGGAATACCTCTCCATGAGCTGGGTTAATTTGGCATCAAAATCCTTCTCCAGTTCTACCTCTTCCTCCCAATGCCTCCACTTCATTGCAGCTTTATTATCTTCATGAGCTTTTATCAGCATATCCCTCTCTTCCACAAATTCTTCCATCTCTTTTTCTTGAGACTTGATGAAGTTATCAATTTCCGCCGACCTAAAGCCAGGAGTACGAAAGAAATAAAAATCAAACAAAACTAGAAGCACCGCTTTAGGACATGCATATTGGGGTCCTAACTTTCTCTAGTCAATACACATTCTTTAACACACTACTTACCTGTATTTCTTTTCCTCTCCATTTGAAGGATTGACATACGACTGCTTCACCTTGTCACGTTCTTCCTGCTGCAGCCTCTCAAAGCTTTCTTCTTTTGCATCCCTTGATTCATGAATTATTTTGATTTGGTCTTTGAAAAATTGTTCTTGCAGATACATCTTTTCACACCCAAAAATAAATAAATAAATAGATGATTAAGCAAGCAAAATTAAATAAAAGAGCAAGTACATCTGCCAAAATGAACAAGAAATACAGATTACAATAAAACATTTAGAAGCCACATGGAAAAACAAAAAAGATGGTAAATCACACAACACAGTTAAAATAACAATTGCAAATCAAGCCAAACCTGCCCACCCTCAGAAAAAATCATAATCCTCCTAACCGCAGGCTCTTGATTCAGACTTGTACTATAGTTGTAACTTAAAAAAACAATACCAGCATGGACATCCATAAATGTCTCCACCAGAATATAAAAGCAGAGTCTACCAACTGCTGCTTACCCCACAATACGAGTTTCAATCATATATATCTTATCCGAACGGGGAATAATACCTCTTCCTTGTTCTCTTCGTGCTGCATTTTGGTCCTGTGTCTTACAATACGATTTTCCTCCGTTGTTTTCCTGAGCTTCTCACTAACTATACCAAGAGATTCTTCAAGCGCTTTGGCATGCCTCTGCTCTTTAGCAACCCTGTTCTTAAACCAATTAAGCTGTTGGTTGTCCTCACTCATTTGCCTGATTCGGTTCACAACCATCTCCTGGTACGATCTCATCTCAAATTTCAGCTTTGATTTACCTAATTAGTGATAGAAACATGCAAGACATCCATATATAACATTAGCACAAATCTTAATAGCAGAGAGAAATCCAACATATCAAAGCCTAGCATGTGAACTTAAAGGATTTAAGTGAAAGCTCATCGTTTTGTACGCAAGATACCACCCAAAACAGAGACAAACATAAAGCGTGGCATGGGTGGAGAGAGCGAGAGAGAGAGACCTTGGGAATGCTGGTTAAATATGTCCAAGTCTTCTTTCACCGCCATGTACCCATAAAGCTGTCGCCTCCCACCTGAATGAAATAAGACACGACGATGATCCCAAGCATCTCTGTCTGTTCCTTGCTCTGTAAAATGCTTGTGCAGACGCTCAGCCTCTAAATAACCCCTCGCAGATGCTTCAAAGATCAAAATACTCATCCCACGGTGTCCCCGTGGACCATATGAGTGCCGAGCCCTCACAGCCACATAAGAGCTGAAGTAGTCAAGAAGCTCCTGATTTCCCATACCAATCCACTGAAATTCAAAAGCAACAGAAAATAAGAAGTGGAGTGATACCAAGACAAGGAACCTTTAGCAATAATCATGACAATGTGCACCTATATTTGACATAGTAATTTGATTACATAAAATACTTTCAAGCAAGAAAAACATCATTCCTACCCTTTCATTCTCATCCTGCTCAAGTCTAGTGTTCATGATGACAACCATTGGAGGCCACACAATTTCATGATCCTTTTCCTCATCTTTTAAACCTTTCCACTTACCGAATGCTTCACCGGCAGGTACAACTGTAGTTCCCTTCCTCCGCAACTCCTCATCCAAAAGCTCCGCAAGCTCTCTATGGAGCATCACCCTCTTTGATCCTTTGTTTTGGCATGTGTCATTAGGGGTTGCAGGCCTCGGTACCAGTCAATGGCACCAGGACCACCTTGGCATGCAGGACAGTGCCACTGCCTGGCAGGATCATTAATCTCATCAACAGTTAAACTATCCAAAATCTCAAAGAATTTCTTGAACCATCTGCTACTCTTTCGAGTTTCATGACTCTTTTCACTTGAATCCGAATCAAACTCATCACTAAATAGCTCATCATCACTATCACCCACAGCATCAGAGTTGTCATCATCATCATTAGCCATAGCAGCAGACACATCGCCGTCTTTGTCATAGTTTCCCTGGCCATCATCTGAACCCTTGGGTTGAGTGAAACCCGCTCTGGATTGCCAGTTCCATCCGTGGTCCAGCGGAGGGTGAACTACTTGTTGCGGAGCCACATAGTTGTTTTCGGAAACCTTAGCAGAAGACTGCTGCCTTACATTTCCTCTTCTGGCTGGTTTTTTAGAATCAGCAGTTTGTGATGGCCAGAAGTTCCCAGGAGCCCTTCCTGGTCCACCACTATTCCTCATACTTGGCTTCTGAACATCAAACTGTGCCCAAGCTTTAGAATTAGAATTCTGAGGACCCCATTGTTTTGCAGTACCGCTTCCATCTCTGTTCTTTGATTTCCTGGAAATTACCTCCCACTCTCCGTCATCTTGGGCCGAGTCCAGGCTAATGCCTGCTACACCATGAGTTAACTGCTCAACCTTGGGGCTATTGACTTCCAAGACATCTTTTCCTTTGGGATTTCCTCCATTTCTTCTCACACTCATCCTAAAGAATAATACCTTCTTTGGATCAGTTTTTAAACAAAAATCACAATAAAAACATCAAAAAATTTGTGCATAAATTATCTTACAGGATCAGGGACATAGAAATTTTCAATTTTGTAGACATAACAAAATGATGTACGTGCACTTTCATTAAAATATCAATATTAAGTGTCGAATCATAAGATGATGGTATACATTTATATGGTAAATGATACAGCTAGAAGATCACAAATATTCGTAGACAAGCACATCATTCAATTTATTGAGCCAGTCTTGAACTTAATGCACCTTCTAAACAATTTTGTAAGAATCCGCTACAAATGAAAATTCTAATGCCCCAAAAATATATAACATATCTGTTGCTAGAAGTAGAAAAACTGGTTTTTTGCTTCCATTTTTCGTACTTTATAATGAAGTAGACTAATAGGCAACATAGGAAAACGCATGCATAGAAAGTGAGTAAATGAGAGAGAGAGAGAGAGAGAGAGAGAGAGAGAGAGTTCATTTAACCAACTAATCGTACAAAACCAAAAATCTTACATTTGATTAGTTTCTTTTCCATTTCACACATCAAGATTCAAAAATAATGTCAAGATATGCACGAAACATATTCCCAGAAATAAAATTGTTTACTTGTACAACCTTTCAGAGCTAATTTACCAACTTCAAATCACAATACCCATTAACAAACAAATCATTCAATTCATTAATTAGATAGAATGAGTTATAGAACACACATCATTCATTCTCCAACATGAAATTTTTCTACTTTGATGCCATATACAAGGCAACATGCATGATAAGCAGCCAAGTAATTTTCCACGAAATAAAATATTTTCATGAACTGTTGGACGATCATACCAATTCAACAGTTTGTTTTCCAGTTACAGATTTTCTTCCTTCGACATAGAATCTTAACCAACAATCTTTTACTCGGCACCCTCTTTTCTATAAAAATATTTGCCACCAAAATACCTCCTCAACCAAATATCAGGAAACACAGGTCCATTTTTTATTTCTTTACCTTATTTTCTTAGAAACAAAACAGAGCGCAAAAAGAAGGTTGTTAGACAAACATAAAAAAGCCCTAAAATTTTCACAAAGTTTTCATGCACAGAAATGTGACGGACAGGGCCAGCCCTGAGCCTGGGCACGGAGGCCGACCGCCGTGGGCCTCAGACCAAGGAGGGCCCCAAAGTTGTTTCCAACTTTTATTGCTATTCTCAGTTGCCGCTGAGAAATTAAACTCTTTCACGTAGCTTTATAATTGCAATGAAACTTTGGATTACACTAACTTTGTACTTTCATGCTTTACCCCATCAGCATTCAATGTTCATTTTTAATTTTATTTTTTTCCCCTTTCTTTTATCTGTCTTCTCTCTATGACCAGAGCCTCCACTCAAGCTATCGTGCAATGGCAAAACTTCTATTCCCATTTTATCCGTCACTGACGGATCTAATATTCTAGAGAGAGGAGGTTCAAAAAGGGTTTTAGAGAGAGAGAGAGAGAGAGAGAGTGAAATTAAAAGCACAAGACGCACTGAAACAGCTTGTTGTGCACATTATACTCCGATCTACATTGCTACGGCAAAAAAAAATTTGTTTAAGCACAAAATCCCAAAATTACACAGATACTTAAACAAAGCTCGCAAGTACATACACATATCTTGCTGGAGAGAGAGAGAGAGAGAGAGAGAGAGAATACGGTGATATATTCAGAGAAGTGAAGCTTCAAGAGAGATTACCTGAGGGACAGAGCCGATCGTTGTCGGAAAATGACTACTGTACGCCGAAAACGGGGGGGTTCGTCGCAAAGGATGGCGCTGGCGAGTGAGAATCACGCGCTCGCCAAGAGAGTGAGAGTGTGAGAGTGTGAGAGTGTGAGAGTGAAAACGAGAAGAAAGGCATGGAAAACAAGTCTTTCAGAAAGACCATGCCTTTTATTCCGAGAAAAGCCTTATTATGAAATCTCGTTAATTGAGGACATCTGTAGTACAATCCTTTTGATAGTTTTTTGTATTTTTTGACGATCCTTTTGATAGTTTGTTGTAGGGTTCCTCTTACTTTTCTTTGTTGACCCTATATTAAGGAGTATATTCAATTAGAATTTTAGAGCATTTAAAAAATCTTAAAAATTCAGGTGTATTCAATTTGGATTTATACAAACTTTAAAATAGGTTATATAAGTCTATGTGTATTCAATTCAGACTTGTATAAACTTTTAAAAGTCCATACAAATATAAGTATACTTAATTAAGGGGGTGTATTGATTGAATTAGCATTCTATAATATTTTAAAAGTCTATAAAGTTTGGGTGTACATTCCAAACTTATTTGAACTTTTAAAATGTCCATCTAAATGTGGGTGTATTCAATTAGGACTTGAAAAAAGTCCAAATAAATTTACCTGTATTCAAAAGGAGATAGATTTGGAATGATTTAATTGAGTGTTGGAGTTTGGAGTACTTCTAAGGTTTAGGTATAATAAAGGCAAACATAAGTCCAACTTCCACCCCAAAGCTTCGTACGACATTTTTTTTGTTAGAGTTTGTATAGGAAAATACACTTGCATTTAGTCCCACATTAGAAGGGAGTTGTTTTCTTCCATGGTTTATAAGCACCAACACTTTAGAAATACTAAATAGAGTATGAGCCTAATGGAGGCAAAGTTAGGTCTCATCATGGTCTTGGGGCTATGTTGATTTAATTAAAAATTTATTTTATTAATTAAAAATTTATTTTTTAAGATAATACCAAAATCTGAAATCCGAATTAGTTGAACAGTTAACATAACTGTTGGATGAAGAGGTGTCAGACCTCTATATATTGACAATACATTCAAACCAGATAGACACGTTTTGAACTGCATTATCATTCTCACATTTTAACACTTTCTGAGATAATTCATACCATTATTTGCCAGAAATCAAAGCCACTGTGCTTAGGCTTTGATTTAAGATAGTTTAATCTTGGTGGACAAACTCCTATCGAATTACAAGCACAAAGGTAGAGGAGAAATACTGTCTAAAGGACACTGCAACTCTGCAGGACTCTATCTACAATCCAAGTCAATATTCTACAATTTTCATTACTGTTGTATTGATTCAATTATATGTATAAAATATATTTCGTTTGTTTTTATTATTCTGTTATTTTGGTTTTATTCTAATTGTTCTCCAACATTTTTTTCTCTCTGCAGAAGACGAACCACCCTCCAAAGGTACGCTCTCTCAATTTTCTTGTTGGTTTTCCTTCTTCTTTCATGATTTTTTCTTGTTTTTGTTACTGTTCGTTAAGAATCACAAAGAAGCAATTTGTGATTTAATTATCTACATTGACTGACTACAAGGAAAAGATACAAGATATCTAAAAGTGCCAGCTAGACTTGGATGTGGAGCCAATAAAGGAGAACCAGGAAGAAAGATTTACTCGCCAGAGCCTGTAAATTTTCAAACTTCTTAATCGAGTTGCTCTTAGTCAGTGGCCATGGAGATATTATAAGAGCTTCTTTTCGATATTGGAGTGCCTATATTAATCAACCATTCTAGGGCGATTCTCGTTTATATCTCCATTGAAAAGCAAATATATATATATTAAAAAACTTATTAGTTATTCCAGAAGACAAGGATCCGAGGGAAGATGGTGCTATTCCCGTGCCATATGATGACAGAAATCCAATTGAAAAATTGTTAGTTCTCGCAATGAGCTGAATGTTTTTCCAAATATTAATGCTCAGCCAAAGCTTTGACAATAGAGGCCAGCATTAAAGTGCTTTTTCTTTTTCATGATTAAGCACAGTTGGGCAAAGACAAACTTTGATCCCAACGCATCCTCATATACAGAGAATAGTGTTGGAAAGAAATAATGACTAAAGTTTGTGCAAATATATCTGAATCTATAACAAAAGTTTATACAAAAGTATGGAAGTCCATAATAAAATTCTATACAAGTTTATTAAAAATTAGTATAAAACCTATAGAAGTTATACAATTTCAAGAAATCTGTCACTTAAAAAAAATCTTTAAAAATTATATGCAATCCTAATTCAATACACCCCCGTAAGATTATAAAAAAGTTTAATAAAATTTAGATGTATTCCAAAAGTCATATATTTTTTGAAGGACATCATTGAGTGATAAAAAGTGACATATTATTGTTGGTGTATTAGGAATTACAAGGACTTGGACTTAGAGTGGAACTTTGCAGTCGAAACAAAATTTTGATTTGATTGAAGTCGGCAAGTGGGTAGTTTGATGGATGGACAATTGCTGCTTTTCAGCTTAAAGTGCCACATGCATGTTTATAGGCTAGCTAAACCGACTATCTAAGTCGGCAAATGAGTGGACAAGTCGCTGGTTTATAGAGAGAAAAGAACCGACTATCTAAAGTATTTCCAGCCACAACTTTTCCTATAATTCTAAAATTATCTAGTTATAATTACATTAGATAATTATTAGAATGGTTATAGGAAAGATCAGATGACTTTAACTTGTTAACTTCTTTCAACTGTTGTAAATTTTTCTAGTTTCATCACACAAGTGTGTATTAACTTTTAACAATAACAACTTAGGCGTGGTGGTGGTCTCGATGGTAGTGGGGGTTGCTGCGGTTGCAGTGGTTATGGGAGTGGTGATAGTGATGCTGGTGGCGATGATTGTGACGAGGGTGATGGAAGTGATGATAACGAAGATTGTGAAGGTGGTGGAGCTGGGGTTGGTGACGGTGGCGATGATAGTGCTGGTGGTGGGTGTGTGTGTGGGGGAGCGAGGGATTGGCAATAATGGGGAATGGTGAGGATGAGATTGTGGTAGTGGTTGCGGCTATGTGGTGGGACGGGTGGTGCTGATGATAACTTTGGTAAGTTGGTACGACAGTACATGACTGTTTTTAAATTTGAAAAAATATACTACCAAACACATTTTACACTTGCTTTCGGATTTGAAAAACAGAAACACAAACAAACATAGCTAAACGGATCCTAATTACCTTAGTTTTTCTTTGTTGCATCTTTGGTTGTCCTTCAACATTTTTCTAAACAAAATGTTGCCTCTAAACGGTGGCTTCAATAATTTATTATTAGAAGAAAAAAAAATATACTAATGCGTAATTGTGTAGAAAGCTTGATGTAGTTTTTTGTCTTTATCTTTTTGAATATGTACAAGATATGTATAGCTTTATCGAATTATTTAAATTCAATAATATCATTTTTATCATATTTATTGACCAGTTTAATGACCACCTCTCTAATAAATGTGGGTCCTATGAATGTATGCGTGACTGACTTGTGTGGTGCATATGGCATCATCACTCATAAATTTTATGTGCAATATTCATTCATGTAATATTAGCAATAAAAGATAATACAAAAAATTTTTTAAAAAATTCTTAGGTAATAATGGATTTTTTATTGTTAGAATATCCTTTTGTTATTTGAAAATTGCCTTTTTTAAAGTCAAGCCGACGTTGTAATTCTTGGTAATTCAGCTTATTTTTGACTCATTTCAGTTCCCTTGTTTAGGAAATAAACTAAATTTGAGCTTTATAGTTTTGGCTCGTGAACAATTCGTTCAAATTTGTTCTGAAAGTTTCATTTTTGAAGTTTGTGTTGGAAAAGTACTATTTGAATATTAGATGTTGATGACTTTTTTCGTTATTCCTAAATTATTATTCCTTTTTAATTATTTATTATTAAATTGTGCAAACTTATTACAATAAATGGATCCGATACAACTTATTACTTTACTTACAAACGAATCCAACTTATTACTATAAATCAGCTCGACATAGCTTTAGCTAGACTTGCACAAACTTAATAAAATTTTGACAAACTGAACTTGAGCACCGGAATACTCGTCTTGTTAACACTCATATTCATGGTGGGAAAACTAGAGTGCGTTTAAAGTTGCATGAACGAGGAAACACATTTTTTTGTTCCCGAAAAGCATAGTGAACTTTAGTTAGGTTGATCTACTTACGTATTTAGATAATTGTCCATGATAGTTTGGTGATAAGAATTTTGATCATAACTTGTTCTTAGATTAGTTCCTCAATTATAAACTTGGTAATGTTCTAAACCATGTACCGATATTGCTCTTAATTTAACCACCTAAGTCCAATGTGGGGTTAGTTCCAATGAACCTCTAGATATGAGGTTTTAACTAAAAAAACTTCAATGCTATTAGTAGTGGACCACCTATATTCGAATTGCAGATCATTATTGTATTTTTCAATGTAGGATTTACATATCATGGCATGTATCAAACCACATACACCAATAAGAAAAACTAATAATGAGCTTGGATATTGATAATGGGACTAGGGCTGGGCACGGTCTGGTTTGGCCCAGCTCTGACCTTAACCCGAAACCTGAATCGGTATTATTCATCTAGTCAGGTCCATTTCTTATTTTGACTAAAACACCTGAGAGAACCGAACCAATCCAAACCAATTTAGGTCTGGTTAGATTCCGGTTATTACGGTTTGGGCCGACTCTTCAGCTGAAATGCAATTTTATTTATTTATTTATTTATTTTTTATGCTTCAGCCCAATTGAATTTAAAAAAATTGGGCCTGATTATTCGCGATTGGCCCAATTCATATCCATGCATTGAAAATTGAAAGAATACATCCAAGCATTAATATTACTTTATGACAAAACAAAAAATATTAATCATTCCTTTTTATCCATGAGGCTTCAGTACCTGTTCCAAAGAGCAACATATTGTCAATTCTTGTAACTTCATTTTCTTTTCTTGAATAATAATGAATGAATGAACTCCAGCCTAAAGTTTACAACAACGTTCAAAGATTTAGATGCCACTAAGAATGATATCTGGCATAGAGAACACACGTCTGTCAAAACAAAACAGGAAAAATTCAAAAGAAAAAAAGAAAAAGAAAATCAGATCTCAGTAACAACATCAGCACAAAATCATAGAAAATATCAATACCCATATGAGAACAAATAGATGAAATCAAAAGTAAAATAAAAGCATCAAAAGAAACACAGATCGTTGAGAGAAAAAAATACTTATCTGTACAAGGGATTAGAGAGATAAAGAGATGCTGACCTGCTTTGGATTGAGAGGAGATAGAGGCAGTCGCGGTGGCGTTGGGCTGAGAGACTGCAAAGAGCGATGGCAATGAGTGATGAGCGATGAGAGACTAGCGATTTCTGATGAGCGACCAGCGATGGCGATGAGCGATGGCTGAAGAGCGATGAGCGATAAACACATAAAATGGGAGAGGAAGGAAAGTGAATGTTGCGGCTAGGGTTTGGAAAAATGTTGGGTGCTAGTAGTTTATTACTTGCTTCTACCAAAAAACACATAAAACGCTTGGAGTTGGGTTTGAATGGCTTGGAAGAGTATTTAGGCTTGAAGAAGGCTTAGGTTTGGAGAATAAATTGGGCATGGGTAATATTATATGAATAAATAAATAAATAAAATATATTTATTTAAGCCGGTCTGGTTCGGTCTGGTCCGATTTTTACATACATAAAACAGGAATTGAAATCGGATTGAACCGGTCTGGTTAGGTTTTTTTTTGGGAAATATGCTGATATAATCACTTTTCAAAACTTGTATTCTCAATGATCACTTTCAAAATCTTATTATGATATAATCACTTGGGGACTTGAAATTACCTAAGTGCCCTCCATATAAAAGACTCTTTAGCACTTTCTTTATGAAAGGCAACTTCTCCCAAGTCCTCTCGTCCCTGTTTGTGCAGTCTCCCAAATAGTGGCTGAACTCCAAGTTGCGAGCACTGAGCAGCTCTAGGTTGCTACCCATCCATCATCATAAACCAGTTGGTCAAAAATTTTGAACCCTAGTTTGACCGTAGCGAAGCCAGCGCAACGCACGACCTCCATTGTAGACCTTCACATCGAAGTGACTGTCGCAACTCCACAGTGGCGACTTCCGTCGTCGTTGTGAATGGAGGTGAGTTCTGATATTGATTTTGTACTGGATGTGTCTTATAAATTCGTTTATCCCCTTTTCTCCACACATGGGCAAAAAAGCTAAAATTTTCAATTTGAAGGAGTTCTGATATGATGAAATTCATAGTTTTTGTTATTATCTGTAGTGGGATCTGTGTGGTGAACTTGAATTTTGTTTAAAATTGACTGAATTCTGTATAATGTAGTGCAATGTGTTTGATAATGGCCAAAATAACAGCACACAGAAAAATAATATGTTAACTTTGTGTGGCCTAAAAATAGGTTTGTTAGGTTAGTTTTAGCCTCAATTTAGATGCTTAACTAGGGAATTTGAGTGGGAATTTCTTGCTATTGTGGGTTTGTTTTGGTAAGAAGTTTAGTTTGTGTGTTTTGGTTTCCAATTTGGTAATTGATTTTATACTGCACAGGTTGTGATACAAAATGATTTTTGAGTAAGGTTGAGGGTGTTTCATATTATACTGCATAATTCATTTTGTATGACAACCTGATATTTCTGTAGAAGGTGTTTAAATTTGTTTAAAACCCTTATAGCTTAGAGGCGGCATCTTGCTGTCATGGTATGTTTAGTTGAATTTGTTAATAACTTGGAACCCAGACATATATACAAAATCAGAGAAAATAGAGAAAATAATAAATTTTCGTTGTTGAAGCAGCTACAATTTGAAATTGAAGATTTGGGATTCATAAGATGACACGGGTAATGGAATGATAGTTGCGTATGTTATTATTGGACCTAATTTTTGTGGTTAAATCTTATTAATCGATCTAGTCATTATTGATGTTATTTGCAGAAATGGATACTGTTGGAATATTGGTATGCTACAATGGAAGTTGGGTTAGGAAGGATAACATTGACAATTATGAAGGTGGGGAGGCTAAAGGCATAATAGTGTCACGGAACATAACGTTTCCCGACCTTGTTCAACGTATTTATAAGATCATGGATGCAGATTCTAACAAAGACATTGTGACACTGAAGTATTCAGTTACTTTATCCTCATCTGTCTATAAGCACATAAGGTTTGAAGACAATGATGATGTTCAATATTTTGTAAAGTACAACACAGATGTTATGGCCTCTAAAGTAACCCCTTTAATAGCAAGCTTGAAAAATATACAAGGTCATGGTATCGGAGGGTGCAATGGCAATGTAAGCATTGAGAGTAGCAATGCTCCTGCTAAATTTGGTGTGGAACATAGAAATGAGGTCATTGGGGAGAACGAAATTGAAAATGGTGGAAATGGATTTAATTGGACGGATTGGGTTGAAGATGTTAATTTTGAAAGTGTCGAAAACATAGTTGCTGATTTGTGTGAACCTAGCAACGAAGAGGAACCGTACTCTGCGCCAAATATGCATCGTCATGGGGACAACAATTTCGAACCCTCTACTGTGCAGTGTAGACAGGTGCAATCTGAACATTCTCGACAATCAATTTCGACTGGAACACACACAAGCCGGATTGATTTGATGCATGGTCAGAGTTTCAAACAGATTGATTATGGTGGAGGCCTTTGTTGCATACATTGGGAAGCAAATTTTAAGGTTTGCCGAGTTTTTCCAAATAAGGTTTACCTTTTAAAAACCATAAGTTTAGCAGCAATTAGAGGCCACTTTCGATTGAGAACCGTCCAATCTGGGAAGCATCGGTTGTGTGTTCGTTGTTGGCAGCTTCCTTGCCCTTGGCAAGTTCGGGCATATAAAATTGGATTACATGAGTTTAGGGTTGTTAAATACGATCCGTTTCATGAATGTGATCTAAGGTATGTAACCAGTCACCATCCTCAAGCTACGACTGGACTGCTGTCCGACAGTGTGAATTGGAGATTCAAGGATTCGCGCACCATTTATACTCCAGTTGATATCAAGAAAGATGTGAAAACAAATTTTGGGGTGACCATAAGCTATGCTACAACGTGGAGAAGCTGAGAGTTAGCTTTCAAAACAATTAGAGGGTCTGCAGAACAGTCATATTCCCTTCTCCCTTCGTATTGTTATGAATTGGAGCGTACAAATCCTGGAACTTTGACATACATTGAGACTGATGCAACCGACCACTTCTTATATTTTTTTTATGTCAATTGGTGCATGCATAAGAGGATTTCAGTTGTCAATGCGCCCTGTCATTGCTGTTGATGCTACCCATTTGAAGTGCAAGTATAAAGGTGTTTTGTTTGTTGCGACCGCATTTGATGGAAATCGTAATATATATCCTATTGCCTTTGGGATTGGAGATTTGGAGACGGATGCAGCCTGGGAGTGGTTTTTGACAAAACTACATTATGCAATTGGTGATTGCGCGAATCTTGTTGTCATATCTGATCGAAATGTCAGCATACAAAATGGGTTGAAAATTTTTTTTCCTGGGGCAACACATGGAATTTGCTATTATCACTTGAAGGGCAATATGAAAGCCTCATTTCGCTTGAAGCAGCGGGATCCAATATTGGGGTATTTTGTAAGGGCAGCAAAGTCGTATCGTCTGAGGGAGTTCAATCATCACTTCTCCATGATAAACAATGACCGAGTGCGAACTTATCTAGTATGTGCAGGCCTCCATAAGTGGCCTCGAGCCCATTGTGATGGACGACGATATAATGTGATGACAACAAATATTGTGGAGTCCATAAATTCAGTTCTTCGTTTTGCAAGGATGCTTCTGGTGGTACACTTGATTGACGAAATTACAAATATGCTTTTGTATTGGTTTAGTCAACGTCGAGATTTAGCAAGGAAATGTCAATCTACGTTGTGCCCTGATTTAGGCGAAAAGAAGTTAAGGAAAAGGTTAGACGCTGCTTCAAGGATGAATGCGGTCAAAATCAATGATGGGGAGTATAATCTTCTGGATGGTGATATGAACAGGTTGGTGAACTTGCAAAACTGTAGTTGTACATGCAGGAAGTTTGACTTAGAGCAACTCCCGTGCAAGCATGCTATTGCGGTATGTTGACACTTGAAATTGAACCTCGACTCCTTGGCCTCTTCGTATTACACATGAGCAACATGGGCAGCTGCATATGCTGAATCCATTTATCTTGTACCACCTCAAGGGACATGGGTTATTCCCGAACATTTGCACAACATAAAAATCCTCCCTCCTCTTTCTAAGGTTATGCCAGGGCGTCGTAAAACACAAAGAATACCTTCTAAAGGAGAGGACCGGCGTGAAAACAAATGCTCAAGGTGCGGTGTGAAGGGCCACTACCGAAATACATGCAAACAATTTGTCCCCGTCACCAACAAGCAGCAGGTTGCGTAGAGGTGACAGTAGTTTAGGTTCTATGTCTATTTTCATCAACTGGTAAGTTGACGAATAGCTTCGGTGATGCTGTAAGCATGAAAGTCGGTTAACTTAATGGTCATGGCAGCCTTACAAACGCAAGGTAACAAGTCCCTTTCAATGACCGGCCAGTATTAATACACATTGTTAAACATACGGTGCCCCGGGTCACAATCAAACCAGGTGCAAAATACTGCTCCACTGCCACATGTGTCTTACAAATTATCATTTCTGTTGGTTTGTTATGTACCGTTCATTTCAATTTCAATTGTATTGCATTTGGTGTTATGTGTATTGTGATTTCAGTGACATTGGCTTATATTGGTTTCCTTTCACTACTACAAAAAAGGATAAAGACGACGGGAATTCACCGTCGTGTATTCGGTTTTCAAATCATCGTGGAATCGACCGACATCTATTTGGGTGTCAAACCACGACACTAATCACCATCGTTGTTAAAACAAACAACGTCATTAACAAATAATAACCGACGTCTTTGTAATGGGAAAAGAGATAATAAAAAACAGTAGAGGATGAGAATAGACGACCAATTCTAACAAAAAACATCGTTAAAAAGGAAACATATGACATATATTAACAGAACACGGCCGCAAGATATACATACAATGATGAGAACTAAAACCCAGTGCCGTTAAATATACCTTTCACGACAAATAAAAATATGACGTCTTTAAATACATAATCGACGACGTTATTGACTCCTACTACGTTAGTATTTTTTCAACAACTGTCGTGAAATGAATTTTCCACTTCGATTTTTCTATTAATGATGACGTGGAAATAGATGTTTTGGTCATTACTTACGATGCATATATTTAAACTGACGACATTGTACTAATAAACAACGTCGGTTACAAATAATTGAGAGCCGTATTACAGAATTTATACGTCATCTTTTAAAATATAATCGTCGTCTAATGGATCTGAAACGGCAAGGTTTCTCAGTTCACCGCCTTGTAAACTAGTTTTAACGACACGATTTTAAAATAAACGACGTGGAAAATATGTTGGGGTCATTACTTACGACATATTAATTTATAAAGACGACGTTGTCGTCAATATACAATGTCGTTATCATTCAAAAGACAGCCGTGTTTCATAATATATACGTCATCATTAAAAAAATTACCGTCGTCCAATTCCTATTAGACGGCGTTGTTAATTCGATATTAGCCGTGTAAAGAAATTTTAACGACATTATCATAAGAAAAGAGACGTGGATACATTCATATAACGTTGTTTTTGTAAAGGAACGACGTCCAAATATATCTTAACGTCGACAAATTTACTAATGGATTTAAAATACCGTCGTGAATTCATCCTTTTCCACTTCGTTTATGAAATAACATGCGACGTGGTAAAGTTAAGACGACGTCGTCTTTTGTAAGGTTCAGGTTAGATATCTCGTCTTTTAGACGTCGGTATTATGGGATTGGAGTCGTGTTATTTGGAATTACATGGCGGCTCTTTATGCTTCTCCGACGTGATATCCTTAATAATTGTTTCACAATAGCGTTGTGGTTCTTCTTTGTTACGTTGCTTTAAGACGTCGGTAAATATATTGCGGTCGTTGAATGCTCCAAAACGTCGTTTTTTATTAGAACAGACGTTTGTTTTTCACATTTTTATCAAGACCGTCGTGTTTGTAATCTTGAACCAATATTTTTTGTACTGATTGTTTTGTGGCCAAAACCTGTATAATGAAAGTGAAGAAATCACATTACAATATATTACAAAATTAATGTCATACACTGCCAATTACATAAGCATCATTCAATCCATATATCTTCACACCCATCTCGAATATTTTGACTCCCAAACTCACCCACTAGTTCATCAAATGTGTCAACATTTGGCATCCCTCTAGTAAATGGCTCACACTCAATTCTCACATCACCTAAGACATCATCATCACCAATAACATCATTATATTCTCTATTAGGCATTGATAACACTACCGACCAACCACGATGCATCGGGTTGTCAACAAAAAAATACTTGTTTGACTTGAGAAGCCAAAACAAATTGGTCATTCCTATGTCCAATTTTACTCAAATCTACAAGGGTAAATCCAAGTTTGTCAACTACAAGACCAGAAGTACTATCTATCCAATCACACCTAAAGACTGGGATTGTAAACTTTTGGTAGTCAAGGTCCCAAATTTCTTGAATGACACCATAGAAACCCATATTTGAGAGAATTGGGTTTTTATCCTTGGCACTAGCAACTTGCATGGTATGTGCAAGTAAATAAACTCCACTATTTTGAGTTGTCCGCACATCATCTTGTGCCTTGATGTTAAATTTAATACCTTTAATAAGATAGCTCCTATATGATGCCACTGCCATGTTTGGACCAGCTGCTAGCCACCTTAAATTTTCTGATACGCCATGATTGTCTTCCTCATTAAGTTCACTTTGAACCTACAAATTAATCATATCTTAATTCAATCTAACATAGAAAGAAGAAAATTAAAAGTCCAATATGTTATTCAATAACATATACCTTGAAGCGTAGCCATTGAATGAAAGTGCTATTGTGCTTATCCTGCAACGACTTTGTTCTCTTTCTAAATTTTGGATAAGCGGTCTTGATGTGGATCATATGTTGCCTACATGACACGAAAAATTCAAGCATTACGGTCCCAAACATATAAGATAAACATAAGAAATAATTTAAAATGGAAACTTAAAGAATAAAACTCATACGTACTCGATATAAGGTAGGACTTCCTCCGTATTCTCCAAGACATATAGATGTGCTTGGTTCAACAGGTCCCGATCAACTATGCTCACTGTGCAACCTGATAATGGCTTTGAAACTCCCATCTTTTGGCTTGAAGGCACTCCAACTGTACTAACATCAGATAAATGCTCGGTACAAAAATCTACAGCTTCTTCAGCTATATACCGCTCAGCAATGCAACCTTCGGGACGAGTACGATTCTGAACATACCCCTTTAGCACTTTCATATATCTTTCGAACGGATATATCCATCTAAAATATACTGGCCCACATAGACGAACTTCTCTGACAAGATGTACTACTAGATGAACCATGATATCAAAGAATGAAGGGGGAAAGTACTTCTCAAGCAAACACAAAGTAACTACTACATTTTCTTCCAACTTATCTAACTTGGAAACATCAACAGTCTTTACACATATAGGATTGAAGAAGAAGCACAAACAAGTTATTGCATACCTTGCAGGCTTCTCCAAAACAGAACGAATTGCCACAGGGAGCAATTGTTGCATTAAGGTATGACAATCATGTGATTTAAGGCTAAGAAGTCTTGAATCTTGTAAAGATACAAGATTTTTTATATTTGAAGAATAACCTTCAGGGACCTTCATACCATAGAAAGAATTGCAAACCTCTCTCTTCTCTGCTCTTGACAAATTCCAAGGCCCGGGAGGCAAACGAGTACGTCTTGAAATTTTAAAAAAAATTGTCTATCTGATTGCAAATCTGTGGCTGCCGTCGTGAAATTTTAGGAGGCAATTGTTTGGATGTTGATGTGTGTGTGTGTTTGTGTAGATACACAAACGCACACACATCATCAACTTCCAAAAAATTGTCTCTCTGATTGCAAATCTGAGGCTGCCGTCATCAAATTTCAGAGGCAATTTTTTGGATGTTAATGTGTATTTGCGTTTGTGTATCTCAAAGACACAAATATACATACATCATTAACCTCTAAAATATTGTCTTTCTGGTAAGATTATGATGAGGAACAGAGTCCCATCTGGTAAGATTTCGTAACCCTTGGGATCTCAGAAAAATCTGATTATGTCGGCGGTTTTCTATATAAACCGTCGTGGTTATTTCAATTCTTGCCATTAAGTTGATCTACCGACATAGGATAACAAAATCCAAGAAATAAATTGTTAAAAAAAATTCTTATTAAGATGACGGTTTAAATATAAGGTATGACGTATAAAGTGAATAAATACGACGTTAAATTTTAAAATACGTCGTTAAATGAAAAAACCCCAACGTGGTGAGAATTAAAGATACCGTCGTAGAACTATACAAGAAAGACGTCGATATATTTATCTTTGCCGTAGTTGTACATTAATTTAATACGGTGGTATTTTGTATTATACCGCCATGGATTTATTTGTAATTATACGGCGCCTTATACGAAAACTTGGTCATGTTAATTTCTGAGTAAAAATGGCGGCTTTTTTTGAAATCGTCGTCTATACTTTCTACGTCGGTCTATTCATAACTTCTGCCGTTCTTTGTTGGCTTAGATTTTAGTCTGTGGAAATCCCATTTCAATAAGACGTCGGTTTTTTAATTAGGTGCGTCGTCTTTTATGAACAACCATTGGAATCTCCATTTTTTAGGTGTCTAAGGTGTTATTACATGGCGGTTTTATAGAACTGTCGTCTTTTAAAAAATAACGACGGTTTTCCCTTAGACCGTCGTTTTTTTCTGGTCGTCTTTGTCACTTTTTGTAGTAGTGTTTGCTACAGAATGTCATGTATTCCCTATTTATATTGACACTATCGCCATGGTATTGTACTTTTCTTGCAATTGTATTCGTATTGTATTGTACCTTTTTTGTAGTCATATTGATATCGCAAAGTAAAATGTGTGTCCAAATTGAAAGGGCCTAGAAGGCCAACCATAAATGCATCCCGTACATAAAACTCATTCAAATGCATTTGTTATGCCATTATCGTGACATTGGTAGTACTTCATCATTTCTCATTGCAACTTTAGACAACGCAAGGGGGAAATGTGGGCCACTTACAAGGTCAACTGTGCTATTGTTTTACGTAATATGGTTCTAGTTTTGAGAGGGGAGTGACCGCCGTTTATTTTGTTATTTGTCATGTTTGAGGTGGATTCATTGTCATGACGATTGAAGGTACATTATAGTTCCTACCCAAAATTAGATAGGTGCACAATATTGGCAATGTCTTTTGAATTGCAATTGGAAATCAATAGGAAATGCAAAAGGATCATGTCTGCCATAACGGATCTAAAATACATCTCTTCTCTTCCATTACATCCAATACCTAACCAAAATTAACCTGCCAACTGTAGATGACCACACCTCCCATTACTTTTGGCAAACAACAAATAAAATACCATTACAAACATGAACAGAGATACCCAAAACCAGGGGTTTTTCATCTTGCCTTTTCCACAGTTTTTTTCTTCTTCCAACCAATTTATTTTCCTAAGCAAGCCGGGAATTATGTGCTTCGATCCGTCACACATCTCTAGGTCAGCCCATTCCCAAAATGTGCATCCATTCTTCTGCATAAACGAAACAATTTATTGTAACGCATAGGTGCACCATCCATTTTTTAATCCACGACAATCCCAAATTTCAGCATCCTAAGCACAAAACTAAACTTCAATCAACTTACCCTTGCACATACTTGAAACCTCCTTCCAGGATGAGAAACTGTCCATGATGTATGCGTTTTGACAACGTTCCCACAGTAGCAGACCCATGACCATAGTGAACTCGCATCTTCCATGTCCCGTTGACATCTTGAAGTTGAGTCTTGAGCGTGCAATCGAGAGCTGACTGACTCAGCCACACCGCTACGAAGGCTCCTCCTACTCATGTCCTTATTTAGTCTTTATGAACTCTTGTTCAAGATCTGCGATATTGAGGCTGCTAAAAAGGGTCAACTTGTATTCAATGGGATTTACTTGTGTGTGCACCAAGTGGGGGGAAAACCTTCTGAGTGCACCAACATTAATAATGGACTGATTGGGGATCCAAAATGTGGTGTTGCGCCTTCCACGTCAATTTTCTTCCGAGTAATTTTTTTTTCAATATTTTCCATTGTCATCAGTCGGGCCCACTGCCACATTTACTTTTGAGTCATACCCTTAATTTATTACAACTACGACATGGTATACAGTTGCAAATACAGTACATGCCCTCCTTCGTTGCTTGTTGATTGGCATATATTGCTGAGCTATTGGTGTTATAGTGGCACTTTATATATTTTATATTGCCTTGTATTGTACTTTTATTGGCTTTGCATTGTAAGCTGTGTATTATTTTCGCTTACTATTCATATAATATCATACTTATAATCCGATGCTTAATTTAGGGGCTGTAAGAGGAAACAGCAGGAGATTTTGTGGTGTCATCTTTGTTGTCTTAGTGGAATACATTCGAAAGGCATCCCTTGTATATATATACAACATGAGTCCCTTAACAGGCAGGGTTCACTGTTGTTCCACAAACGAACCCATGTACTTAAGAACACAAAATAATGCATCGAAATTACATGTACTACCTTTTACAAACTGTCTTTATACAAAATAAAAATAGTGGGCACCTCAAACTTACATAATACAAAACCAATTTCAAAAGAGGGCATCTCAACCTAACATAATACAAATTAAATAAACAGGCACCTCATACTTAAATAATACAAAACGAGGCCACCTCATAGTTCCATTTACACACTATCTCCACAACATTTGACAGGGTCCAAAGTAATATTAGAAGTCCAACCTTTTGTCTGTGGTCACATTCGGATTTGCGTACTGTTTAATTGCGGCAACCGCGACCCATTAAATTCATGACCCCTCCGACAGTGATGTTGTCCCACTTTCCTTATGGATCCACAATTTTTGCAAACTTCCGAAACAGTTCGAAACCGGTTTCCATTTGTTTTTGCTTCAGCTGAGCCATTTCCTTAGATTCCTTGAATACGACAACTACAGTTGTAGGGGCATTTACAATTTTAGCTTTCACAGTCTTTATATGTAGGAGATGCATCCTGGCTTGATAACGAGACCGAATTGTGTGGTTCTTTATGACACCCCACCTAGCTTGGCCCTCGAAATTTTTTGAAACAATGTCTGTGTGGAGATTTTTCCAAAATATGGTGTTGGCTCGACATTGCTGCAGTCCATGGACTAAGTCTGCAGTCACTTTTGGTGCTGATTTGGTAGCTGTTTCAATGTCCCCTCCTTCAGTAATGGAAACAGTCGGGTTTGGTAGGGGGTTTGGCTCCATGGTTGTTGAGTATTTAGTGCGGGTTGGTGTAGGAATTAGTGTGCCCAAACTAGAAGTTATTCTGATGTGAGTGAAATTTATGTGCAAGGTGTGAGGTTTACAAGAGTTAATGTGATGGAAATATGGTGGTTCATGCACCTGGGTTACAATTAAATAGTGGGAGGTAATAATGACCATAAGTAAATGAGAGTGAGCAAGTGGCGGGAGTTATTGGCGGGAGTTGTTGGGTGGATATTTTGGCAGGAGTTATTGGGCGAGACGTCAGACTTGGGGTTTGTGTGAATGGGTATGTCACTATTTGGTGCACACAGTTGCTGTTTGTTGTATACAGCCTTTGTTGTATTTCCAATTTATTCCTTTTGTTCTCATTGACAAATTTCCCTCATGTAATAAAAGTACAAAAAGTCCCAATTTCTGAGTACGGTCAGTTCACAATGTACCAATTTTGACTTTTAAACAAGTGGACCAGGAAATTGTTTGCGTTCGAAATCTCCTTTTTGCTTTCTTCCAATTTCCTTTATATGAGTTCCCTTTCTTAATATTTCGGGATATTCCGAATTGTCCAGTTTTTTTCAAATCTGTTCATGTGTTTTCCAGGCATATTGCATTTTCTTTGAATTAAAAAAATGGCGAGCAACTATACATGACATTGTTTTTCGTAAATTGAGAATTATGAAACTTCGTAGTAAGCTATTATTTCGATGTTATATACCTGAATATGAATATAGTATAGAGTTTTTTTGTTTTTTTTTTTTTTTTTTTTTTTGTTGTATTTATAGTTGTGTTGAGGTGTGTATTTTTGTATGGATTATTATGTCAATGTTGACATACCTTTACTCCCATTTGGTGCAGCTATAAATAACCCTTTTACAATGCTCTAACTGACAGATAGGAGTAATGTGTGCACAATGACGTGTAATGCACTGTTTGCAATCAATATAGAACACAGTACTTCCTCAATATATGAGGGGCTAACTTACTCATTTCATTCAATATAAAACAGTACTGTTTGACCAAAAAATAAAAATATTTCAATATAAAACAGTCCTTCCTATATATAAGACACCAAAGCTGTACTACACCTCACCATATTGTTGTTTACCAAATCATAACTGCAAATTGAATCTAACGTATTTTGTTTTGCAGGCTATACGTGTGCATTTGCCCCATCGATGCTTGAAGATGTCAGACGTTGCCCCTCCAAACGACCATGTCAATTACCCGGGAGACCAGCCATGGCATGTGCCGTTCCCATCTCCACCTGGGACTCCACATAACGACCCCACTTCATCTAGAAGTAAGGTTGACAACAATGATCAGCTAGACAAAATATTTGAAGTCAAGCATCACCTCCAGTATTTGTCTAGGGCTACGGATTGGTGGGAAACGAAATGTGATATTCATGGCCAGGTGATGGGAAACTTGACGAACAAGTTGAACAAAGCCTACACTGGAGAAGTGAAGCAAACAATGAAAGCAAAAAGTTGAAGCGCAGAGTTAGCCTCATTGAAATACAAATTGGAGGAAACAAAGAAAGATGTTGTCAAAAAGTTCATTGAATCTTAAGAATTTAACCATGAAATGGTTGAATGTTTTAACAATGGGTTCGAGATGTTCCGAGATTATGCTTCGGTCGTCTCACCAGACTACAATTGGAGCGAAATAGATGTTACTGGTGTGTGGGAGGTTCTGAATATGTGTGGACAGGGAATGGTTGATCATAGCCTTGTGCATGCAGTGAGGAAGAAGAGCAAGGACATGGATCTATTGATGGACCTGTAAACATTTTGATTTTGGGAGGGTTAGACCAACTAGGGCAACTTAAGTGTGGGTTGGAATCATTTTGTGGGGTTGCTGTCATGTGAATGAATGTGGTGCCTTGTTTAGGCGTTGCTCGTATTGTAACGGATGAGTGGCAAATTATTAACTTTGTAAACATTAAAAGTAATATCAACTGGATGTGTGCGTATTGTAAGTTTATTGCCCTCATATTGGCACCATATTGTACGTATGTTGCTGTTTTTTTGCTGCTTTATTGTGTGGGAAGCCATTGGTTTTACAATACCAGTTCACAATGCTGAGAACAACATTATCATTTCACAAAGCTCTCGGTTTCCTTATATCCAGTTACCGGAAAATAACTACATATGAAAGCCGATGGTTATACGAAATCCATATAAATACAGTAGGGAATGAACATTAATACACTTTTGGAATGCAAGGATGAAACTGGTTTTACCATGTTGCATGAACAAGGATGGGCGACTTTTGTACATCCATGAAAGATAACCTGTACATCTGATTAAATATGTAGTTGTACCAAACATGTGAACTACAGAATGTCAAAAAACGCATTGTAAGATAGAAGTTAGTACAGCCATTGTGGTATGGATTACAAGTAGTGGGGAATTACGTTAGATAAATGAAGACAAGGACCATATTCCTACCACAAAATGACAACACTTGATTTGCCATTTGTACAAAAGGTCAAAAATAGTGGCATGTAAGGCAATACATCACATTAGGCTTCATTTACAAAATGAGGAAACAACTTGCAACTTCTGTCACGTACATCCACAGATTCAGTGAAGTCAATGCATGTATGAACCTGGAAGGATGCCCAACGTAATAAGGACACATGTGCCACAACAGCATTCAGATAAAGGCAAAGTTTAACATCCAAAATTGTAACTACTAATTGTAATAAGTTATTGTATTAACCTCTTGTAATGAACATGAAATGAGTTTTGGATGATACACACTTGGAGTTTAGAACATATGACATACTGAAATGAGATGCCATGTGCAAAAGATGTACGTTACCATCTATAGTTTTCAAAACCCATGTACGCTACAGTTTGATGCACAAAAGTAGGCCTTTTTGTTCATCAAACTTGGACATGGTGCCAAAATAATATCAGTTGTATTAAATGAAGACTCAATTCACAACTCATTACTAAAGACGTGATTAAAATGATGTATATTAATACTGAATTTCTAAGGTAGTACTTGACAGTTAATTAAAATGATGTGAGATTTGGAGTTTTACCTCATACATAGGCTTCCCCCCTGAACGCCTTGATTGCAAGCTTCAATCGGTAGTACCCAAACTTGGAAGGGTCAATGGTATGAAAAGGAATGCCGGCACTTAGATACTCAATGAATTTGACTGTCATAATGCCTCATGAGGTATTGTCCACCGAAGAAGTACACATATTAGAAGTGCACAACATCCACAAATTGCATTAAATGAACACAGCTTGCCCATCAGTTTGTTGAGGAACATCTGAAATTCTGCAAATTGTGAAAGGAGTAAACTTGGACATGTCAATCCCCTTTTTGTTTACCGCTTCAACCTCCGATTTCTCATAAAACCGCATTTCGTAAAGCACTTGTGCAAGCGTATGGGTAATAGGCTCCATATATCTACCAAGCATCATGTTGGAGGTAAAAGCAGTATATGAGTCATACACAGTGACAGTATGTTGGACAAGGTCGATTTCTACAGCCACCCAATGGCACTGTTGAACATTATATGGGACATAGACCTTGCGCAGTTTTGTCCAAGCTTGCGCATACCCATGTTGCCAGGTACCGTCGACAAAGTGTTGTATATTTCTGACGTAGTTAGGTGGAGGGTCAACGGTCCTTGAAGCAGCTTGTGTCCTCGTAACTCGTTTCGTACGAGGCTTTATCAACGGCTGTAAAAATTGCTGCAAACAAGGGTGAATGCCATGTTACATAAACAGGAACCAATGCACCCAACACATCCAACAACATTACTCACACCGAATGCAACAAATGCAATTTAAAAAAAAGGTACACAGTAATACTTGCAAAAAAAAAAATCGACAGTAGTCCACTCCATTCCAAACACCAAAGGATGACAAAGTTGTCTTTTGCGAATTAGAAACATCGCCATGTCCAGGTGCTTAACAGGCAGAGGTCAGAAAAACAACCTCAATACAACAAAAAATGACACATCCTCAAGGGCATAAAAGAATAAATTCATAGGAATAAAGCAGTGTTTCAATTCTTACCCTCGAACTCATCCATGCAGTTTCATCTACAAGTTTGTAAAAAAAATCTGCCCCAACTACAAATGGTTCAAGCTCGAGCTCCGCACTACAAACGCAAAACTTGCAAGGATAAATTTTTAATACTTCAACAATTGTAAGACTAGAATAGGATAAGGACTTACACATGTATGTTATAGCTACCTAGATATAGTTATTGTCCATGACTACATAGTACAAAAAAACATGTATATTTGTTTTGGCAAGTTCAAAATCCTAACCTGATGTCACTTTGCCAAGCCCTGCAAACCTGTATTACTGCATTCACATCGTCCATGGCCACGGGTTTTGTTGGATCAAAATGAGCCTCGGGTGCCGGTGCATCTAAATCAGTTAGCGTCCTCTTTTTCCTGTAGGGATCGGTGAATGGACTCAACAATGTTGTCGCTGGCCGTTTCACTTTGTACCCTTTGCCCCCCGCATATTGTTTCTGAACCGTGGCAGTGGCTTTTTTGTTCCCTTCATCACCAGCCACAGTTAACTTGGTTTTCATGCGAGCCCTCAGCTTGCCTCCCACCGCCTCTATTTATGTCTTCTTCCAATCCTCTAACAATTTTAAAAGTTTTTTCAAAATAACTCTATACCCATCCCCATCTTCCGGAGTAGGAAGGTTGGCATCTTCAAGACTAGGAACCTTCACATCTTCATAAGTAGGAACCTTGTCAGGTTGTTGCTGCACTTGTTTGTCCCCAACTGAAGTCTCAATTTCAGTGCCTTCAACTTCCATGGCTGGGAAGGCTCCCACTCTATCACTGGGTACTTCTTGTTCCATTTCAGCCCCTTCTGTATGCATGGCTGGGAAGGTTTCCACTCCATCACCGTCGACTTCTGCTTCCCTTTGAGCCCCTTATGTATGCATGGCTGGGAACGCTTCCACTCCATCACCACAGACTTCTGCTTCCAGCTCAGCCTCTGCTGTAGTCGGACTAATAGGTTCATTTAAGGGTGACATATCATTCTGCCCTCTTTCATTCATCTGGGGAGTAGACACTTCCTCATCCGCTTCTCCACTATATTGTTTTTTTTTGTCCTCCATCTCCACCTTAAAATAGTGCTCGACTGAAGCAATTGTGTGGGTCAAATCACGAATAGCCTTTTAATTTTTTTCACTGTCCTTCTCTTGCTTCAAATAATTCTTGTCTACAATCCCTTCCAACTTGCGCACTCTGTTCCTAAGGCCTCGATTTGAAGTGCGTAGCTTTGCCAACTCATCCTTACTGCTTTGTAATTGATGCTTCAAACTGCGCAACTCAGTCAAAGACACTTTGTGCTGCATAAAATAAATTGCAACAGTCAATATTTGCACTTCATTCGTATCGTATTCTCTACATTTTTAGAGCAAACTGATTATATACAACCACTTTTAATTCAATAATTGCCACAATATTGGAAAAAGATCATGGTCACCTTAGAAGATGAGGTAAGGGTAGTTGTGTCCTCAACTTCCTTGTCTACTGCTTCACTGGAACTATTGGTATTTTGTTCGGCCTCATCCCCAAACAATTCAACAATTTCTTCATTGTTCTCAGCATCACCCCAACTCCAGTAAGGTTGTTGCTTCTCAATATCAGTGGGCCGGAGAAGTTGCACATCAACCTATTATTATTTGAAAGAAATAATAAATCAGTGAACTTGTTACATTTTCCTATATGTAACATGATCCTTACTTATTAAATCAGTGAACTTATTAAATCAGTGAACTTGCTTCTCAATATGAACTGAACTAACCTCAACATTTTCATAAACTTGACTCATGAGGTCGCGAAAACGGGCCACCGTGTTGGTCCTCCAATGTAATATTCGGGGGATGTGCCCATTGTCTTCATGCACCACGAAATGCAATGCTTCCAATGCTGGGAAGACTTCAAATGCCCAAATCTGTTTAGAACAATGAAACATCAATCTCTGTAAATGTATTTAAATGAACTACAACATTTTGTAATATCTGTTCACCTGAAGAGCGAAGCCAAACCCCTTTATGGTGTACTCTCTCGGTCTAGCACTTGGCATTCTTGTATATGCTCTCGTTCCACCTTTTTTTGGTTATTTTCCTTTTTTGGGGCACTTTAACTCGTTGGTAATCTGAACAGATTGCCCTAAAAAGTGAATTGTTTGTCATCGCATACGACACAGCCCCCCATGGATACTTGTCAAACTCTTCTAGGTCTTCGGCCAACTTCAAATAGCGCATGTCAATGTTCACGTGCTTTTCAGTACCCAATAGCACAAAAACGGCAAAATAGACCATTTCAAGCTTTACCGCATCCTCGTCATCTGTGCAATCGATGAAGGCATTGTATAGGTCTGAAACGGTGGCAGGTTTATTGGTGCTGAAGTATTTTCGCTTCAACGAGCAGTTTTCATTTGAAGCCTTCGGAATGAAAGGGAGCTTTCCAAACCTTAGCCCCGTGATGAGGCAAAAGTGTTGGGCAGTGAATTGTATCAACTTGTTACCCACAATGAATTTTATCTCATTCACCTGTTTAACACTCTTAGGATGAGCCTTCCTCATCAACAACACGTGGACAATTTGTGCTGTCCAGTTTAGGTCCTCTATCAGTAATAGATGACCAAAACAACTACCCTCGAACCTCTGTAATTTCTGCCTACTAAACTTCGCCTTTATTGTTGTAATGGCGGTCCTTGGGTGTGAAAGGGCTAACGCCTTTCCTTGATACTTGTCATCCTCAGGAATCATAAGCTTAGCTTTACAAGCCATTCTTGATTTCCCTGCACAACAAAATCATACATATGGATCATTAGTTACCCATATTCCATACGTACATTACTCAAACCTATACTTTTAAGTCATTTAAATATATGTATATACATATGACAAAACCAAATTTGAGTCTCTTTTCTACTCTCTAACTCTCACCACACTGTACTGTTATCTACATTCCCTTCTACCAAATCTACATTCCATTCCATCCATAAACCAAATACCACCCAACTGTTAAAACAATTTCATGACCCAGGGATCCACTTCATACAGGGTTTGGGCCAAATGGCTAAAACTACTACCCCAAATCAATTAATGCCTCCTAAAATTTACTCATCACCATAGTTATATACAGGTGTAGTCATATGAAATATAGTAGGACACATGGAACATCAATATTGACAGTTATGGACTCTGTGTACAAACTAGACACGTCAAAATGTTACTGCAACTGCAGAATCAACATGGATGAACATGAAATTCCAAAACAGTTAATGAAGGCCAATCAAATACCAATTTCAGACAAAACCCACACAGAGTAACAAAATCACCATCAACAGTAACTCTAGGAAATGAAACCGATCAAAACAAAACAAATCTTATACAAACCCGCACACATTTACAAAAGTACACCATAAAACAAGACAAGTTTTTAGACGTCAGCAATGGAGTTCACCTTCGTGGTTGGAAAACGTGCCACTGTAGCCGATTCCGAACATAGGCCTCAATGATGGAGTCGATGATGGGTTTCGCTATTAAGAAGAGAGAGATGGCAGAATGAGATGGCTTTCGCGACAGAGAGAGCAAGAGAGTGCTGCTGCTCGTCGACCGTCTATGGAGAGATAAACCGCTCACAGTAGAAGAGAGAACTCTGAGAGAGGGCTGAGACAGAGAGAGAAGTCTGAAATGTTTGGTTACCCATCAATCGCCAATAATTCCACAATAGATATGTCTTTATATGGAGGGTACTTAGGTAATTTCAAGTCCCCAAGTGATTATATCAGAATAAGATTTTGAAAGTGATCATTTGAGAATACAAGTTTTGAAAAGTGATTATATCAGCATATTGTTACAACAATATCAAATTTGAATTCAAAATACTCAAACTCTTAGAGTTAACTCTTAATCAAGAATATCGTGGTACTTTATATCCTTCAAGGGGTCGCTTCATGCAATATATCTCAAATATTTCATGAGTTTTGAGGATCTCCATGTACCATACAGTCTTGATAAATATGCATTTAACACATGATATAAGTTTCGCATTAAAATAAAAATTGTACTTATAGAAATGTGGATGCATCTACGATGAGATGGGAGACCAAAATCATGTCTCTACCAGGAAACCTTATGTCATATTAGTGATCTTATTTCACTTCGCAAACACCAATCCGTAACTTTTATACTTAACATTTGTAATTTGGTGTTTGAGTTATAGGTTCAATATCCAACCCTTCATATTTAGTGATAAATGGAACTGCCTATTTCCATTTTTGGCCAATCACTTAACTTGTTGACATTCATAAAACGTGATTTAATATAATTATAGTAGCTACTAATAAACCAAATGTATCATCGATTTGTGATCCCACAATTCTCATGTGCATGCGCATGCATAATTTGTAAGCATTTCATTGCTTTAGGGTACCAATGGCTCTTCAGGGGCTTATGTTGTCACTTATGGGACAAACATCTCTTTTAAGATGATTATTTAGAAAATGTGGATCATAAACTCCTAGAGAACGTTATTTTTTATAGGGCTTGAATTTTTCAAATAATCTTTACTTTTGGGGAGTTAAGTCTTTAGAACCTATATTTTTGTCATGCTTCAAGCATACATTATATATAGTCACTTATTGTCATGTTAATGGATTGTGATACATGAATATCAATCCATGCTTGCATATGTAACAAAAACTTATGTATTCAACGTTAATTCCCAACATTCTTTAGGAATTGTCATTTCTTATGCCCCAGGAATTGTCATTGCATAATTTATAAGCATCTCATTGCTTTGGGGTATCAATGCCTCTTCAAGGGCTTATGTTGTCACTTATGGGACAAACATCTCTTTTAAGATGATTATTTAGAAAATGTGGATCATAATCTCCTATAGAGCGTTCTTTTTTATAGGGCTTGAATTTTTCAAATAATATTTACTTCTGGGGAGTTAAGTCTTTAGAACCTATATTTATGTCATGCTCCAGGCATGCATTATATATAGTCACTTATTGTCATGTTAATGGATTGTGATACATGAATATCAATCCATGCTTGCATATTCATAACTTTATATATGCATTATCTTGATGAGATAAAAGCGGACTGATTCAACACTATTTCATGACGTTCTTCAGGAATGGCCATTTCTCCCCCTAATGGCGGGAAAATTGTCTCAAAATTTAGGAAAATAAATTCAACATCATTATTGAGTCAAATTGACTAGATTGGATAATGTGGGAGTTGTGCTTGTAAGCGTCATTTTAGTAGGCACATTCAGTAAAACTGGTGAAGTAATCCATAATTAAATGTTGTATAGGCTCATAAATATCCCCTTGAATTATTTAAGGAAAGATGGCTCAAAGTCAATTTTTGACCGAGATGATCTTATGACAGCTTTTATTTGTGAGTGTTGAGGCCCAAAAATCCAAGGGGATAAGCCCAGATCAACTCTTGGCCCAATACAGATAATTAAATGCAAAAAAAGCTCAATCGGGCCAAAAGAGAGTTTGTAGGACACACCAATACAAGCTTCGGGCCACGTATCATGCCAAGCAAGCATGTGCAAAAGGGCCAAGAGCATGCCAACTTTACAAAATCACGCTCACATGCCCATTCGGTGTTACTTGGCCCAATTATAGCCTATCACGACGTAATAAAACCTAAGCACAAACATAGGTATCGTGCAAAGAAGAGTCACTATTCTAACACCAAGCCATGCCACAAGCTTAAGTGGGCCCAAGCCACAAAATTACCTGGGGCTTACTAAGAAGGTCATGGTATGGAAGGAAACAAGCAATCACATGACCCATTGAGGGTTCGGGGAATGAAAGTTTTAAAGCCACTTGGGAGCATTAAAACTCAAGCTCATTCCTCATACCCAAATACATGTGTTAGCATGAGAGAAAAGGGAAAAATGGTCCAATGTCTTGGGAAGACATTTAGTAGCCTGCATACTTAGATAAGCCCACATCAAAAGAATGCCCAAAATTAATAAAGCCACTTCCAGCAGCTTAACGAAAAGCCTATCAAATGCTGGAAATAACAAGAAAAATGACCCAAAACCGTGCATACAAGCCCAGCCCAACAACTTATAAAAATATGGCACCAAGTTCCACCTCTGTTAGAACTCCAAGAACAGTCAACAAGGGAGCCATGGCAGAGACCAAAGGAAACCTATGAGGGTAGGACGAATACCCATCAGACCCATCTTCTTTTCCATTACAAATCTTCATTTTGAAAACCAAAAGGAAAATCAGGTGGCGCCTCACCCTTATGGGGAGGTCCAGCTGCATCAAACCCTTGGAACCACAAAGGGTTCCTTACCCATGCACCTTGGATAGGAGAATTTCACCAAAATAGGATTAAGTGGGGAGCAGCCAAAGGAAAAGGAAGAAGAAGATTAGATGAAATTAGGGTTCTTCGTGCCTATAAAAGGGGGCCTCTTCTATCCAACAAAAACATCATCTAGAGCCTGACCAAGCTTTGTCAAGCAACCTGGAATTTACTCAAGCCACCCAATCTTCTTCCTCCGTTGTTTTCTTCTTTCCCTGAGATAAAAATCTCCCTAATTTTCCTATGCCCAGTTTATATTTCTGTCCTCTGTAAGAAAATCATGCTTTTCTCTCTCTCAAATTGCTAAACTTGTGAAAGCTTAGCTCCCATGCCACAAGCTCCTCAAGCCAAGTCATTTATCGATTTGTTGTGTCTTTTTGGCTATTAGTGAAGATGACCTAAAAGAGTTTTTTCTAAGGTTTTATCAAACCCTTCAAAAAAACCTTTTGGGAGCTTGGTTCTCGAACTCAGGCATTTGGGGAAGTTTTGTTCGTTTTCTTCTTATGGTAGCCCAAGCCCATTCGTCAAGCTGCTGGAACAAAAAGACCCTTACAGTAAGCATGCTTTACAATGATATTTGTTCGATAAAACAATAGTTTGAGTCTTTAAATGATGTCCTTACAAATTTATAAAAATCTTATGTATCATTGTGGAACATGGATTGCCAAGACAGTCATGCCACAACATAAAAGTTATCCGGTCAATGAACTTCTGGTTCATGACATCATAAACTTCCTACCCACAAAGAAAAATAGGAAGTTTCTCCAATAGACACCTCTGGCTGTCAATATTTGGGCGGTAATACAAAACATTACCATTATAAAATGAAATTAACTAATAACCCAACATAAATAAAATAAAATAAAATGAGTAAAGTGGCAAAAACAAGGAATAAAATAAATTGATTAAAGACTATGAAATTCCAAGATAATCCAAAATTAATGTGTATTCAGTATGTAGATAGAACTATAAGTTTAAGAATCAGATATCCAACCAATTCAATGTGCATCAAAGTAGGCTATTTTCCCATGAAATCTTAAAATTTGAGTTTTTGATAATTCATCTCATGGATATAGAACATCAGGTTTTATGAAGTTCAAATGGCAAATAGGCACAAAGAAGTAATGAACTTCAAGTTCATATATAGTATTAAGATCCATGAAAAGCAATAAACTTTAGGTTCGTATCAACATATATTCGAAGCTTCACGTTCCAATAAGTAGATATAATTAAATTGAATTAAAGTTGTGCTTTGAACTTCATATTCAAATCAATGTATATGCACTCGAAACTTTTGGTTCGGGGTCTTGGCATATGTAGGCCTCATGGAATTCTTATTTTGATTAATACAAAATCAAGGAGATTCATGTCCTTATGTGCTTTTTAAATTCGTGGAACTTCATGCGCTCAATTATTTGGAATCAAAGAACTTCAGGTTCTGA